AGACTATGCTGTATGGTCGAGGAAGAAAAATAAAAAAGAGAACATAAAAGAGGGGAGGATTGTATGTGCGCCTTCATGGGTAGGCTTCTCGTCGGGAGGATGCACAGCGATAATTGGCGATGCCTTTAAGCATCGCTATAGCTCCGGGTGTACCTATTATACCTACCGCGGCGCGTGCATTATGACGAATGGACGTGCACACGAGAAGGACTTGTCTGTCGGTCCTTTCTTTTCTTCGTCTCTTCCCATACGCTATCCCATCGGTATAAGTCTACTTTTGCATTGTATACGCAAAGTTGTGTCTAGATGCTTACACGAACATGTTGGCACAATCTCTCTCTGTCTAAAAATTCGCAGAGATTAAAAATAAAATTGTCTGATTAAGTATTCTTTCTCAAAAACTTTTATCTTTATCTAATGAACCCGACCTCAAAAAACAGTATTAATGTAATTTCTTCGCGTAAATTTAAAATTTTGTTTACTGTTGGAAAGTTAAATCGTAATCTTTATTCTCTTCTTTTTACCGCCAATTAGAGTAATAATTATAAATTGTGTTATATTAATGGTTTATAATTATATTATATCAGCAATTTTACTCATTGTTATCGTAATAATTATTTTATTATTGCAATAATTTTAAAGTAAAGATCACATAAACTCAATAAAAAAATTAAATTGAAAATAAGAAAACTGACATCGCTATTTTTGCAACGATTTGAATTAAATTCTATTTTTTTAAATTAACGGTATTTATTTAAATAAAGTGTTTTAATGAAAAGAGGATCTCAAAATGTGAGAGCGAAACGTTGGGTTTATTTTTTTTTCTTCGATGTAAATTGCATTATCGCTTAGTACTCAATACATGACGTTGCTTCAACAGCTGATTTGGCTCGGATATTGACTTGTTTTTATTATTTTCAATTTATAATAATTTTGCGGAGAATACTGTGTTTCGTTCTTCAACGATATGCAGGACAGATTACACAATAATCCTCGACTAACTGTTAATACAATGCACAGCCGTGTGCTTAGTGTCGAAGGTTAAACGCCATCGATCGTCATCTCGGCTTCATCGCAACGTCTATCAACTTTTGTTACTTTGCAGTCTGACGGTATCATCGTGAAACCATCTAATCTCAGATTAGCACTCGAGGTAGAATTTCAGATGGACGATTCTTCCGGGTAGAACTACCACTAAGTTTTCGATCCTCTCAAAGGGTTAAATGTATCGCGAGAAAAACAGGACCTCCGCGAACGCGATGATGCAGGGCAATGTTGCTTCCTCTTCCCATCGCGATCTCCGTTTCCTCGGGCAAAAAAGTGACCGCGGCGGCGGCATCGCAATCGCCGTCGTTCTACAAGGTATGCTAAAGCTAAGCGCAAGAAGCGGTGACGGAGGCGGCCGCGGTCGGTCTCTCGGGCAACCTCGAAGGTGGAAGGAAGCGGCCAAGCTAGGCGTGAGTCATCGAGGCGAGACAAGATCTCGGGTAAGGAGGCGGCCTTGATGTCGCGAAACTGTTCGCGATATCGGAACGCCGACTCCGATCGTCGTTGTCGCACGCCGATACTCTATAAGCCGCTCCAAGGAGGATTAGGCTAAATCGAAGCACTATATAGAGTGTTCAAGGAATACTGGAAATTTCTCTCTACCGCAGATTCCTAGTATTTGGACTTTACCTGACTACATAAGGATGTCTTCTCAATTAATCCGCGGACGCCATATGTATACACTTAACAAGTAGAATTGGAAAGTTCAATAAATAGTTTGATTTTGTATATTTTTGCTATTTCTTTCACGTTTTGCTAATTTATATAAGAATGGATTAATTTATTGTTAATATTTAGAAATATTAGAGACAAAAGAGTTAACTAGTGATTTAAAGAAATGTTGGACAAAAGTTTTAGAAATTATTTAAAAATATTGCAGAGAGAACGATGGTATACAAAAAGATTTTTATTGATATCAAGAATCAAATGCAACACTTCGTGTTTAATGTCATACTATGTAATTGCGGCGTATCTGATCTTGAATCTTAATGAGCACGATATTTTAATTTGGAAATGCGCCATTTGAAGACTGTACAATCGAATTCGAATGTGTTATCTTGAAACGTCCGATCTCCGATCGACGAGTTTAATGACCCGGACAGTGAATTAAAAAATAATGAACGTGTTTTTCAAAAATAAACAACGTGTCAGTAACCGATGTATTCTGGCAATGTTTTTCAATGTCTGTAAATTGCAATTGTATGCATATAGGGACGCGAAATTGAAGCGACAAATGCATTTGGCAGTTTTTTTATTCGATAAAAATGGTCATATGCAAATTGATAAGCGAAAATATGTGTCATGAAGAAATTAAAAAGAATCGTGTCTGAAATTAACCGAATCAAACATTGATTAATAGTTTTATATATTTCATATTTTAATATTTTTTTTAAAGATTGTTTTACATTAAAATTAACATTTTATTTATGTAAGGAAAATATAGAGAACTGAAGAAACTTAGAGAATTAAAAATCTTATTAGTATAACACAAAAGTTGTAATATTTATATTATTATATTATATTATTTATTTCTCATCTGCTTTAATTAGCATTACTAATTTGTCTATTCGTGCTGCTGCGCTTTGCGCTTCTAATAATATTTATGCAGAAATCACAATTTTTTAAATTATAGCTGTATCAAGCGAAATTATAATTTAAACGTTATCATTTTTTGACTCGAGCAATGCCTAATTTAATATGAGCTCATTTTTACAACAATGTGATTTAAAGACTAGATTACTATATTTCTATTATATATCAAATCGTAGATATAAATGTAAAGAAATGTTTGTAGCTTTACATGCCGATATATGCCGGAAAACACTTTAACTGCCTACGGAGCGGCAGACAATCGTTTGTTGCTAGTCTTCCGCGGCGTGTTGTGAAATCGTCATCGTTCTCAGTGCTAAATATGATAACGACGAGGTGGCTGCTATTAGCGTCTTTTCATGCCGATTCATTTGCGATATGAATAATTTAACATGAGTCCAACATTGAGAAAAATCAGAAAAAGATGAGATGTGTACAAGCTTAAAAATTAACTTTTCAACAAATAGTCAAATAAAATAGAAACTTTCATTATAAAATGTGGACATTTTAAAAATATCTGGTAAATAAATATATAAATATATAAATCTGGTAAATATATATTTATATATATATATATATATATATATATACAGATTAATAAATAATTAAAATAATTAAAGTTTTTAAGGCGACAAAAATATCAAAAAAAAATAAAAAAAATAAAAAATTATAAAAATATATAAATTCCTAAATAAATTAAAAGTTTATCTATTAAACGATTGATTTACCACAGACCCTTTTGTTATGTTAATTACTCGGATCTGCAATTTGATTATTTTATTGTATCTTTTCAATTATATTTAGATAATAGAAAAGTAGAATTGTAAAACATTGCTAACAAAATATATTTAACTGTTATTAAAGAAATAACTATTCGTAAAAAGCACGAAAAGATACTTTATAATTTGGATTTCTGTCACACATGTATACTTCGATTTCTATTTGATTAAATATGAATAAATTATTCGAAATATCTTTTCAAAATCTATCACCATATAATATTATTTAACATATATTTGAGATAATTAATTATCAATCATTTTATAGTATTAATTATTTCGCAATATTTCGAAAATCATTTATGTATAGAAAAGAAATTCGACAAAATATCTCACATTACTATCTTATTGCTTGAGTATCGCCGTGCAAATGACAACACGTTAGACATCTGTGACAACATATGTTGAATAGAATCTGTATATCTTATATTTTAAAATAACTTTAATAAATAAATTATTCCCGCGAATAAAATTTATCGATTATTCGAAGAACTTATTTCCTTATTTTTTTTAAATTTAAACTGTGCAAATGTTTCTTACGGTATAACAATTTAAAAGAAAAAATTTTACACACACACACACACACACACATATATATATATATATATATAGAGTATTGTTTTAGGAACAATTAAAAATAAAGATTGGCCTTATATAATATATATATATATAAGGCTAAGAGAGAAATTTTATTTTTAATTGCTCCTAAAATAAATTAAAAAGTCATTGCAATTCGAACAATTAATAAACAAGATTGCAACATATACATATGTACTTATGCGCCCACTGTGTGTGTGTGTGTGTGTGTGTGTGTATGTGTGTGTGTGTGTAAAACTGCTATATACGAATTATTTTGATAATTAATATTTGATTAAAAATTAATGATTTTAATCGTAAGTTCCTTATTTGTATTTAAAAGATGAATGATATCGCACGAGAACTAACATGTTTTTTTTTTAAGATAAAATTAAAATCTCACATATTTGTATATATTTTTCGTGTTCCGAGCAATTTTTTTAGAGGGCAACAATTTTATAATGATGGAAATTATCAGAATATATTATACTATATGTTAATAGAAGCAATACAAACTATAAGCAATCGAAAAAATGATGCTTTCTACATTAATTTTTATAAATTATGTACTGTGAGTTATAGTTAAGTTTTTCAAATATTACAAATATTTAGTATTAATTTTTTGTATTTTACTGTATGACATAGATTTTAGGAAATATTAGAAACATTTTTATTCTTATAAATTATACATGTATATATATATATATATATATATATATACATATATATATATATACATATATATATATACATATATAATTTATAAGAATAAAAATATGTTTCTAATATTTTCTATCAAATATTTCTATATAAATATATATATATATATATATATATATATATATATATAATGCGTACACGCATATAATCAATAATTGCTTATTTCGGATGTTATAAGCATCGCACATATATTCATCTTTTGGTACATTAAATATTTTTTTTCTTAATTATTTTATAAAATTATTTAATTAAAAAAATAATTTAAAATTTTATAATAAAATACATGATTATTGATCTACATAAAAATCTTGTTCATTGGCACACGGGTGAAAATATCATTAGTGATTTTAGTAAAAATCAGACCGAAAGTTTCTTCATAAGCAGCTTGAAGTTCCTTGAAAAGCACATCGGCATTCGTATTGATGAATTTATTTATTTCCTCATCTATAATTAACAAAAGATAAAATTAATGAAAAATTTAGAAAGAAATATATGTGAGATTCTTCTCTTGCTCTCTCATTAAATTAAAAAGAATTATTGCTAGATATAAAACTACACATGTTATTGCTAGATATAAAACTACAAATTTATAACATTTTTATGGACAAATCTTTATCGATGGTAGATAAATGTCATAGATTTTAGCTTTTTGTTCTTTTCTCGACATTTGCAGTTTTTATATTTCAACTTTCAAACCTACTTTATAAAAAAATATTTAAAATTATTTAAAAATTATTTAAAATTGAATATTTTTTTTACAATAATCGATACTATTAATTCTCAAAATATTAATCCTTTTTTTGAATCAGTTTGCATTTATATTAATATATATAAATTTATGGTATTTTGTTTCTATTTTCAAATTATAAAGTAATATTTTTTCTTATTTTAGACCTGATTAAGATACAATACCTAAGAAAGTATTTCCACTCATGATATTATCAAAGTGCAATGTTATGTGTTTGGGAGTAAGCGTGACTAAATATTTAATTGCTCTCAAGTAGGTTTCCCCATCCTTCTGGAACTTCTCAAAACGTATATCACTTGTTGTCGTCAAGTTATCTGAAAAAAAGAAACACCGCATATGTGCAATAGATTCTTTTGCCTTCGTTAATAAAGCATTTGTCATTAAATCATATGTACATATATGTCAGAATATTGCAAATCCAATTTACAAAAATGTATTCTGATATTTACACATAGTTATATTGCATCTACCCTCTCCTTGTATTGGCAATAGCAGAATCTTGCCTTCAATTTTATAATCGGCAACAAAATCCACTTGAGGATTAAAAGCTAACGACTTGAATATTAAATTATCCCAATCTATCCTAAAGAAATAAAAATTTTATTATAATTACATGACCGCATTAAATATTACACACATACACACACACACACACACACACACACACACACACACACACAGAGAGAGAGAGAATGTCCTTAACCATCCGTAATAGATCTTTAAAAAAAGGAAAGTGGATTTTATCAATCGTTAAAATCTTGATAACTAAATTAGATAACATTCTATGGTAATATTTTCCGTGTTCAATTTTCAATTTTCAGTGTCGACTGGAAGTGGACTATCCAGACCGAAAGTTGAATTTTTTAAATGATACTTTTTATAAATTCGGATTTTTCGGTGACAAATAAAAAAACTTTTGTCGTACACATTTTCTTCTAATGCTCTCGTAAGGAGGAACATTCTGTATATAATCTGACATTTATTAAAAATTACAAATAATTTGCATTAGTATAATTTATCCTTAAATATAAAATACAAATAAATTTTTTAATTCCGTTAGCCAATATATCTCATAATTAAAAATTTTTAAATAAATTAATTATATAATTCTTTATTTGCTATAGAATGTGAATCAAATTTTTAATTTAAAATACACCCATTGTAAATTAATTATATGTGTGATTTCTTTTCTTTTACATAATATTTATTTAAAATATGCATTTTCGGGTATATGCATTGATCGATTTTATATTTTATATCAATAGTACAATAGATAGCATGCGAGAAATGTAATAAAAGTTACATTATTTTTGAAAGTTACATACTGATAATTATAGATTTGCAATCCTTTCGTTAGTCCATGCAGTTTAACATTCTGATATTCTTGTTTGAGTGACACCGAACCTTGAGTTTCGCCGATTTTCACACTGTTGATCGTCAGTGGTTCAATAGGCAAGATTTTGAAGTCTTTCAAACCTAAACATATAATAGGCATTCAACATGTGAATTCAATGTTCATTTCTTTATTCATTTCAGTGTATTATAACTACACTTTACCGTAGCATCAAATGTAATTTATATAACTATTTCAAAATAATATTTTCAAAATTAAAAAATATGCAAATCATAGGAGATAAATTAAATGATTAATGAAAACCAAAGCATCATCTTATTTCGTGTTTAATTGTAACAAAATGGGGAAAATGATTCAAACGTAATCTTGTATGTATCCTAATTAGAATGTACTTTGGAATCATTTTATAAACAAAGAGAGTGGAATGGATTAATAATTCCTAATTCTTAATTTTAAGTTCACGATGCGTTAATTCATTTTATTTTTTTTTTTATTTTGAAATGAAATAATTCCAATTTTCTTATATTTCTAATTCTGTTTTAATATTTATTTCTATTTCTAATGTTTTCTTTACTTGATATTTAATTACTTTAATTTATAATTAGCTAAATATGCAACAAATATTTAAGATACTTTATAAAAATACTTCAAAATTAATATAATTATTATATTTATAAATAACAAAAATTAGAAATTAAATATCATTATATAAATATTATTATTATATCAATATCATTATATAAATATCAATAAAACGTAGAATATTACATAATCATCGCATTTATTAACAAATAGGTTAGATTATATTGACTTTAGTCATAGACTTTAGTTTTAGGTAATATTGACTTTAATCTTAATAATAAACTTGAAAAAAGTAATAACACTGTAAATAACAGAACTATAATTCAATGTTGAGATAATGAAATAATAGTGCAAGATTAGTTATAATAATTGATATCATTTCAACATCGATTCAATAAGAATTTCAATTTTATTCCAATGATTTCATTCGATTTTCAACGTTAATCCAATATCATATTAACTATATATTTTTTTGACTAGGTACATATTTCTAAATCTTTATCGGAACAGTTAAGTTTTTTGTTTTCCGATCTATTTTTTCTCTGAAGAATGCAAGTCATTAAAATATGTAAAAATTATATTATCTCTGATAAACAACTGAGTAATACTCAATTACTTTAAACGAGAAGCAATTGTGTAATATACATAAAATATCCTTTGAACTTTTTTTTATTCGATGAATACATAAAATTATTTATAGATTTAAATAATTTTTAAGTGTTTCCTTCAAAGCTGTTGATGTTTCATCAATAGCATATCAATATAAATATTTATAATCTTCAATGTATATATTTATAATTTTTTTATTAAAATATTAAGTAAGAAAAAATATTCTTGTAATCTCGAGACAACGTTCACACATAAAATATCATTCGATTCTATTAAATCTTAAGAGATTTCAATGAATCATTACATGTTTAAAAAAGTAGAACAGTACAGGATAGATTGTTATTGTAAGAATGCAAAAAATAACAGTTTAAGATGGCATTAAGAATTTGACAAATTTTTTGCAAGATTACTGGTTTATCGCGATACTGAATTGATGAGCTAATAAATATCTTTCGCGTTAAGAAATAACACAATAAAATAGTTTATTAAAAAATAAAACATTCTAATTAATTTTTAAGTATAATTAATTAAATTGTATAGAAGTAAGATTTTATTTTTTCACCAATAATTTCGTAATAATTATTAATGCATTTTAAAATTTTACGTCGAAAGATTAATCTCTGATTTATGAAAATATGTTAATATAAGATAAAATATACAATTTTGATTTCATATCTTATATTCATGAATCAAACTATTATTACGGAAAAGAAAATGTAGAATTATATTTCTGAATTATATATATGAATACAAAAGATCGGAAAATTATAAAGAAAATATATTAAAAAATAATTTGAATATACACATTTTATTCATTTGCCCTATAAATTCTTAAACCATGTTGCATGATTTGTAAAGTTTGTCTAATTCGTAATATTTTATTTTGTGCGTGCATGAATGATATATGTATAAAAACTAATGCATATTTACCTTCGGCCAATGAGATAACTGCATCTCTGGCGGCATTCGCGATGCATTCTAATACTTTCGGGTCTGACCTCTTGCACAGCTTGAAACTACTAGCTGTAAGGTAGAAAGAAAGGGAGAAAAATATTGCGTGTAAGTTGTTATATAACTGACTGCATTGCTGCAGATCCAATAAAATCCGCGCGCTCACTCGATCTTTAGACGGTTGTTGACTTTCTCTTTAAACCTGCACGCGTGTTAATTTCGGGTCGATGGTATTCAAACAATCTGGTCATGAACAAAAATTCAATAGATTTTCACAGTACAATTGAAAATTCCGAATATAAAACGTAATAGAGCATTTTGATTAGAATGATTTAGATATTGTATTCGAGAAAATTGCATATATTAATTCATCTTCTTCTTGTCTTTCTTAAGCAAACATTGACTTGAGACTTGTTATTTTTATGAGAAACAAATGTAAAATATTATTCAGATTAATACAATAATAATTAATTCATTAATTCATTAATTAATTTATTATAGAATTATTATCATTATTGTAATATATTATTATAAGAATTAATTTATAAATAAAAGTTCATATTAATTTATTATTCAGTATTAATTTTGGTATTATAATCAAACTTCAAATTTAAAAATAATTTAATAATCTTCAAAAAATCAAATATAAACATTTCTTTCTTTTATGAAAATATAGAATAAATACTTTACATTTCTTTTTCTTTTTGCATATGACAGAAAAACTTTTCTTTTCATCTTTTTCTTTCTTTTCATATATACAGAAACTTTAATGTTATCCAGTTTTATTCCCGATTTTTCTAATTATTGATTATAAAAGAATTAAATTATTAACTTGCTATTTGCGAAATTACATTACGAAAGATTTTTAATGATTAGATTTGGGATAATATACATACATGATAGTAAAATATTCCAATTGTGCAACATGTTGTAATTCTTTAGTACCTAATCATTGCTTTTCGTGTATTTAAGTGTGATTGGTTATTGCCTGTTTCAAACAAATTCGATTCAATGCAATTTTAAATTATGACATAACATAGCTATAATTTAAAAGTGTGCGAATGAACTTATGGATATATGATAATTAGATATTCTAATACACACTTTTATTACTATTGTGTCCATTATATGTCGATACTAATGTTGTACTCATTAGTTTATTATGATTCAATATTATTGTGTATAGTGTTTTAAATTATCACAATAAATAAATCTGATATGTAAAGAAAATGAGAGAAAGGCATAAAAGTAAATTCTTAGCGATAATTTTACAATAATATAACATAATAAAATAAAATATCGCACATTATAATATCAAAATGAAATAATCTATAAAATAATAGAGAATTTAAATTATTAAATGCAGTCACATATACGGTAAAGTTGCAAAACTTGACTGTAAATAATGTATAATAATGTTTTAATATCATCATAATTATACTTTTTACAGTATCTTGCATTAAGCTGTATTTTCCTAATGAAAGTACATATAATATATTCATACAAACTACACACACAGGCTCGAAATATATTGTCCCCAACATTTTATATTTTTAAAGAGACAATTTCTAAGTCTATTAATATATGTATTAATTTAATTTGTATATTTGATAATATATTTGACGATATCTTGTAATACATATAAAATATTATTCTTGAAAAAAATGATTTATAATATCAATAACGAGAAAATATATTTAATTACTTACGCAATTCTAACGTTGTCGTGGTTGCAACTACCGCGAACAAGAGTATAATTATTGTTTTCATTATTCCTGAATAATGTCTTTTGTTGATACACTTACAGCATCGGCTGAAAGTAAGAAAAAAAACAACTTCTGTGGGAGAAAATGTTCAATGATTGTCAGATATGAACTGGGAGACATGGACAATCCAGGCAGTGTATTTAAGCACCGTTCACCCCACCATGATCCTGTAGTGGACATCTGTATATCTGTATACGTATGTACACATGCGGTCAGGGTGAGAAAGTGGATAGTGACTTATTCATTTAAACGACAATTTAATCAATAAGAGATAGAACTAATTCAATGACTATACGAAATAGAAACAGTATCATTTGATAAAAAATATATACAAATATATATGTAAAACTATACATGTATATGTATGTATATTTATTTGTAATCGAATATATTGAAGATTCTATCATTTTTTATAATCGTTAAAAGTTATATATATTAATATTTACAAGAAAATATTCATCAAATTTTCAAAAGTATACGAGAAACATGAGATTATTTTTAATTGTTTAATATTGCTGTTTTTTGAAGTATCTTGCTAATTGTTTAATTGTAAATAATAATTGTAAATATCAATTGTAAATATCATTGTAATAATAATTGTAATAATTGTAAATATCAAGATTTCATTGAAATTTATCTTACACAGTTTTTAATAAATTGTTAAGGTTGTTACAACAAGTCTTAATATTCGATGACTTAAATCGCATATTGAATATTCTTAGTCATTGATATTTTGATTATGATTATTTGAATATTAAAACATTTTTTTATAACAATCTTATATAACACTGAATAGAATCACAGTTATCACAGTTATCACAGAATTTTTAATATATATTCAACTGCAAATACATATATATATATATACATATACACGCATATTGAATATTCTCAATTATTTTTGATATGAATATTTGAATATTAAAACATTTTTTAATCTTATATAACACTGAATAATTACAAGATATCATAGAATTTTTAATATATTCAACTGCAAACACACACACACACACATATATATATATATACATACACACCGTGTGATGAAATAATCATAACATCAATATTTGAAACGATTTAAATACATAATTATTCATAAGGAAGAGAAGTTAGAGGAATTATAAACATGTTATTGTCACGTACATTGCTGCAAATGAATTTTCTCAGAAATGTTGAATTTATAAGGTAAAACTATATTTTCAAACTCGTATGCTTTGTTGAATCTGAATGTTAATAGACATTTAATATTGACATATTTCCTTATGTTATGACGGTCCTTTAAAATAGCGAATAAATTAACATGAATTGATTCGAATAAATTGCAATTTCATGAATCGGTATAGATTCGGTTTTTGAAAAAGCGATTTAGAAGAAATTGTTTCTTAAGAGAGCAGAGAAGAATTGTTTTACATCAATTATAATTTATATTTAGTTAAACATGCATTTAAACGTATGTATTCAATCAAGAATTTTTTTATTACATGTTAATAATTATCTTTAAAAATTAAATACAATGTTTGTAATTTAAGGTATATTATTATTTATTATAGATGATATAAAATAAAAATATTAATTAATCGATTAAATCGATAAATAACATGAAATGTTTGATGTGCTTTTATTATATTGAGATTATATGTTAACTGTTCAATATATATTTACGTAAAAAATAAGACTAAAAACTATGTTTTATTATTATTGTATTTTAATTATTTTTTTTATTAACACGTTATTCTATAATATCGTTAAAAACATAAACAGTTATATACTTTTAATTTTTATTTCGCCGAGAAACAATTTTTAAATTATAAAGATTACATACATATTTATATATTCACTTCTCTGCAATATTTGAAAAATTTATTTAGCCTAATTATTAAAAATGAATAATCTATTATTTTACCGAACAAAAAAATAGACTTAACTCATAAACTATTTTATAAAATGTCAAGGCCATTGTCGAATTCTCTTTGTAATGTAATATTATAATTTACAAAGAGAATTCGACAATGGCCTTGACATTTTATAAAATAGTTTATGAGTCAAGTCTTTCGTAAAAGACTTATGTAATGCATTTAATTTAAAAATTATTGACACGAAAAAAAGGAAATAGATATCATATCATATTTCTATGCAAATAAATCAGTATTAATTTTAAATAAAATGTTAAGAGTATACATTCAATATTTACAATTCTTGTTATTCCTTTACATTTGCATTTTATTTCTATTTTGTTTATTTTAAAATAAATGAATAATTAGTACATAGCTATTTCTTTTGCGCGAAATTTTATATATATATATATATATATATATATATATATATAATATATAGATGTCATTATAAAACTAATTTTATTAAGATATAAATAATTTAGACATATGCAGTTTATAAATCCTAAAATAAGTTTGTATGAATGGTCGAAAGTAGGATTGCATATATCACATTATATTACAAATAAAGTGTCAATTTAAGAGACAAATATATATTTTCATACAAATTATATATATATAGCACAAAACAGGATATACCTATAAATATTGTGACACAATCAGTGTTGAAACTTATATTTTCAAATCTTTGAAATAAAAAAATTATTCTGTTCTATAAATGTGGATTTAAAAATATATAATAAAAATATAGAAAACAAGATTTTAGAATATACATATCTGTGTGTTGCCTTTGTTTCAAGGAACTCTTTTCTGATATTTGAGCGCCAGACTATTTAATGGCGGTCTAGCTTTCAGAATTCCAAGATCAATGGCATGACCGGTGAGAGGACAGCTTTGATGTTTACGCCTATAATTCGTATTGCAAACATTCTTTTCTTGTCGTACCACGTATCTAGGAAAATAATGTATGCGTTTTTTCTGTATCGTCGAGCACGGCGGCATCGTTACTACCAAGTCTTGCTTGTGAATCTTGCCTATCGGTTCCGGAAAAAGACGTTCATTCAGCAGATATTGTTGCAAAGATCCTGACGACCGAGACGATGCCAATGTATGACTCGAGCCATGCGTTTCAAAGTAATTCTGCTCTCGAAATTTTCTCAAGTTTTCTACTTCTTGGTCCATGGGACTATCAATAATGAAATTATCATCGTGCTCCAAGCATTGGTCCCTTTGCTCGCAATATTTCGGCAAATTGTACATTCGTATGCATTCATCTTTGTCAAATTTCGCGACCCTTTTTGGCTCGTTTCTGCAACAACAAGAACAATCTTGTTTGCGTAATTGCATTGCTTTTTTACTTCGTGTCGGTGATTTCGAGATAGGTCTTTCACTTGACTTTGGTATTTGCCTCTTTGATCTAATAGTCTTTCGTAATGTTGACTTTGACAACTTTCGCGAAGACACTTGAATTCCTTTGCTCGAAGTGCAGGCGGTATCATCGGATCCGCTTTGTTCGCTCGCCAGTGAATTTGCGGGTGCTGTCGGGGATGCTGGGAATGATTGCATCTTATCAACATACTTGTGTTTGTGTTTCGACAGTGTTGATTTTTCATCAGGAATGATATCTTGCATCCTTGGGCTTGTCATGAATCTGTGGTAACTAGACGATCGCGGACACGTTCGCAAACAATCTCCCTCACCTCCAGTTTGTAATTCACAGATTTTGTTTTGTACATTGCGAAGAAATTGAGATCTAGGTGTATAATCGATTTTTTTAACTCTCCTAAATGTTTCACAACTAATCGGCGAAGATAGTGCAGTTTTATCATAAGTTTCTTTTATGGATTTAAATTCAAGTTGGCTTCTGCAATGACGACAAGGTGAAACAGGTTTGCGTTGAGTTCTTGATGACCTTATGTGTATCTTATTCATTTCATTACAATAACACCCTTTTACTGGCTTTCTAGGTGCAAATTGCTCTCGTGGTTTTTTAGATGTTAGTGTTAGTTTTTCAAACATGTTTGGCACTGACATGGTTGTGCGTTTAGGATTGACACAAAAATTTGGATTTAAAACAGCATTGATTTCACTTGAATCATTACGCAATTTCCATAAATTAGTTTTTCTTCTCATACAACTGCATTGACTTTTATGATTATTTACCAAAGATCTGCAAAGAGACATTATAAATTGTATAAAATAATATATATTACATTTTTTTTTACTTATAATACAAAACAAAAGCCATTTACAATTGCGAACGTAATTTCTTCATTTCGCTATTAATCCTTTTAGAGTTTTCATCAATATATGCTAACAATGTTCGACTTTTCTTGCGTAATTTTTCTAAGCAATCGTTGAATGTCTCTCCCATATGTTTAAGACTTTCGATAAATTGCCATTGACATTATATATTGCAAAATTGCAAATATTGAAATATATTTTATTCATACAATTTAATAGTAATTAATTTTTTACAACAATCAAATTTGTTTAAATTAAAATTAAAGAATGTGAATGTTATATATTGTATAAAATGTTATATTGGTAATCAAAGTTAATAAATTAGAACAAATAAATTAAAATTAATTTAAACATATAATATTATAGATTAAAGCTTTTGCTTTAATATTTTCTTTTCATGTAGAAATATACCGTTTTCTTAACCTAATTTAACCTCCAAAGTGTCTATGTTATTCAATATTTCTTCAAAATCAAGCAACAAGAAATTTATCAACGTTGAAAATTTGTGGAATTTTTATAATATTTTTGTTCACTTTTTTTTTCGCGATTTCCCCAATATTTAATACGTGCTCCAAAAAACTTCGAATACGCACCAATCACCATTGACATAAAGTTTACATTCACATTGGACAATAACAAAAAAAAGAGACCTTCCAGGTTAGCCAAATCTCGAAAGCACATTCATTTAAATATTCATTCAAGCGAATTCAACAATCTCTCGTTCATGTGACTACTTCATTGTGGTCTTCTACGACGCCATATTAATATTGGGACGCACTTGTTACGTATGCGTGTTTCATTCGGCAATCGCAACGCTCGTGGCATCCTTGTCACTGAATGAATCGCCGAATGTTAAACAGAGACAGACAACGCTCGCAAGCGCTACCTATGATCAAGTGGAACGCGGAAGGTCATTATTTCCAGAAGGACGCGGTGTAGGTACGTATGCGTGTGTGCGCACGATCTTTATAATCACAAATAAAGCGCGCGTATTCCGCGCGTTAATGCATCGCTCGACGATTGACGGCAGGTGACATTACGACGGATTCATTCGCGAGGCACGAGATGCGGTCGACCTGACCCTTGTCGCCTCGTGATTCACGACACAATAGATCGCCTGTTTTAGGTTAGAAAACATTAGCGCACGCGATATCGTGGCAATATCATACTTCCTCCGAAAATATCCTTCCACATCATGGACTTATCCGAGGACCAGTTGTCGGAAGACGTGAACAATCGTACGTTGCCGCAATTCTCCGAAATACGCCTGCCGTTGAACGCTTCTCTCAGGAATGGAAACGTGCAGTTACCGAATGATGAGAATGTGCAGTTTCAAAGCTCTGCCATGAAGAGCTCGCGAAATTTGACACTGAAACAGATACCGGTAATTTTCTTTCTTCTTCAAATCTTCTTCAAATCTTCCTCCGAACTCTGCTTTTCTCTCCCTATTTTTTCTTCGCTCTCTCATCTAGTTAAAATATTTTTGCTTCTTTTTTCATTTCTTTATTTTCTATTTTTAGGATATAACTTCATTGCTAGACTCGTGTGATTTATCCCTCATCGCGCGTATTTACGAGGAACCAATCATGAAGCAGATGATCAATCCGATTTTTAGTTCAAATAATACACTCAATACACAATCAAATATTATGCCGAATAATATTTCGGATATTATTGGTTCCATGTATTCATCTTCCATATTGCAAGAAAATGCTGTAAAGCAAGAGCTAGATGTTCAGCCTAGAAAGGAGATAAACTTGAATAAGGTATATATACTTGATAATATTTCTCAAATAAGTTATATACTTGATAATATTGATTTTTTAATTATTTTCCATTATACACATATATATATATATATATATATATATATATATATATTTATATTACATATATATATTTATTTCTATTGTAGGACTCTCAGATTCAATTGAATCAACAGCAAACCATGCTGACCGAGTACTTTCAGAAAATACAAGCTACGTCTTTGCAACAGTTAATTAAACTGCAGACAGAACAAGTAAAGAAACAGGGAAAAATACAGCAAGCAATGCAGGAGCAAAAAACACAAGAGCAAACACAGAATAGTATTTTAAATATACCAAGCGTTCGGAGTCTTCATCAAAGTAATAGCAACTTCATAAACTCAGATCAGATGATAGTGGCCATTAATCCGAATGATCTACAAAATGAGCAAGGAGAGAATGAAAACAATTTGCAACCTGTACCTAAAGTAGAGCGACTAGTTAAAACCAGTTTATCGAAAATTGATAAGAAATTGAAATTTCGAGCGAAAATCAGTGGGATTAAAGTGAGTGTTGGCTACGATGGAACGACTCTTTATTCCTGTTCAGAGTGCAATTCAAGATATTCAGACAAGTTGAACATCGAACGACATATACAGGCTCATTTACGGGTACGTATTATGTATTGTATTATCTTCAATGTGTGGGTATGCGATTTTCGATAAACAGATTATTAAGAAAAAGACACATATTAAATGGAACAATTTATTATGTAGGAACGCAAATATGAATGCAAAGAATGTGGTGCCATGTTGAAAAGAAAAGAGCATCTAGATCAGCACATGCGCGGTCATTCAAACGAGCGACCCTATAAATGCATAATATGCCTCAAGGCATTCAAGAGAAACGAACATTTAACGAGACATGGTGTTATTCATACCGGCAACAAGGATTTTACTTGTCCCGAGTGTTCGAAAGCATTCTCACGCAAGGACCATTTAAATAAGCACATACAAACGCATTTAGGCATTCGAAAGAATAAAACAAAGGATGGTTCTTATTATATCAATCAAAAAGATACGATGACGTTATTTGATAACAGGATTAATCCTACAATGATGCTAAAACAAGAAACAAAGGATATAAAGGATCCTTGCTTACTGAAACATGAATCCAATTTTCTGCAGCATCTTCAGAAGAATCCAACCCTGTTGCATACATTCTCTTCCCTTAAAGAGCAAATATCAAGAAGTGTAAATGTGCCTCAACAAGCACAGAGCGACAATACAAACGGAAATGCAAGGTATTTAACGCCATCTTAGTTGTAAATGAAATATAACGCATATCCCAAAGCAATAGATGGTGAATAATAAAAATAGTTTACATGCGCTGTCGATATCAATAGAAGATAAGAGCCGTTGCAAGTAACTAATTTCAATTTTCGAATTCATATTTTGATACTATAAACGATTATAATAATTCTGAGACTTATAGTTTAACAGTAAAACAAATTGAAAATGTATGTATTAAAGAATGTCTATTGTAAAGAAAAAGAAATATAATTGGCATATATATGTGTATATGATCAAATATATTTCTGTATTATTGCGACGTGTATTATTATCAAATATATTTCTTTATAAATATTTACAATATCTAATAATTGAATACACATGTCTCAGAATTGATTAAAAATATATGCAATATCAAAATTAAGAACTCTAAATATAAAGCGCGAGAAACTCTTGAGTTTTTTTTAACTATAGAGTACTTTATTTTGTCCAAGCATGTCTCTTGAATTATTTATGCAATTCTGACAAATTATGCTTTACTTGTCACTCTTATGAAATAATCCAAATTATATTTAAAATGAATCGATATAATGCTCAATAATTGTTGAGATAAAAAATATGATAACAATAGATTAGAATTGTTAAATGATTAATATCCTCTACAGCTAATTCAAGTAAAACAGATAAACATTTAATTATATAAATTTTTTTATGCATTAATTTATCCCAATGATTATATTCATGTGCTAAAATACTTATTTTAAATACAAAAATTTTGAAATAGACTTCTAAATTTTTCCATGTGATATCTTTTAAGAATTCTAAGAACTAAGATAATGAGAGTAATGCATTAATTAACACATATGTATATGTATATATTTCTATGTTCAAAAATATTCAAAAAAAAATACACACGCATACACATACATACACGTTTATTTCGAAAAGAAATATATACACATATTAAATGCATTAATTTTTCACATAAGATTCACGAACAATCATTTCATCGTAAAACATTACATAAGACAACATAACATATTATTTTGTTCGTGAAACGCACAGGGTAATGCGTACGTTCAATGTACTGAAAAGAAATAGCTTAATCTTTTATTACACTATGTTTTATTCAAAAATATCTCATTCGGAAAAATACATACGTCACTTTTTTAATTATCTTTTAGTTATTATACAAATTATCTCAGAATAAATACTGAAGTCTTGTGTAAACGCACATGTTTCAAAAAGTTTTATATTAAAGATGAATTATATTAATGCACATTCACTATCTAATAGAAAGGCTCATATTTCTAGTTAATCTCAACCAAAAACAAAATAAAAAAAATATCGCTCTTAGGCTTTTATATGATTTTTATTCGATAAAAATCCTATTAAATTATCAGAGAGGCATATATTATTAAAGATTTCAGCGATTGTTAAGCTTGCATTAAATCTTTGAATATAATTTAGATTCGTAAGCGCGACACACACACACACACACATACATACACACACACACAAAAGTAAAGCGCATTTGCAGAATCGCATAAATAATTTGTGACAATTACAAGAGATAAATAAAACATTAAATAATAATTATGAGAAAATAAAAATAATTGAAATAAAAATAATTGAAAAAATAATTGTGAGAAATTAATTTGCAGATAGAATAAAATATTTTCTGACAAACAAATACTATAATTTAAAAATTCGAAAGCTCTTTATATTTAAGTTTTTTAATATTTATATTTTTTTACATACATTTGTATTTGATTTTTAATTAAAGGTTTAGTACGGCTCTTAATTCATTTGAAAAAATATAAATTGGAAGAATATAAAAATATAAATAAATTGGAAAAAATATCGACAATCTGATTTAATATGAAAAGATAATAAGAGATACTGGCGCGAATTTGATATCTTAATAAACCAATACATATTAATTAGATAAATTCTTAAAATTCGTTGCGAAAGTTAGTGTTCAATAGAAATAATAAATAATAAACTGCCAGAAATTTTGTTAGGAATTTACAGGATAAATTATTTACTTACATATATACATTTGATTTGATGGAGACGCTTATAACATATTGAATTTTCAGCAATTTAAATTGCTGAAAATAAAATATTTCTTTTTCACGGGTATTTTTTTGAATAATTTTTATTATAATTACGATATACATATTTTAAAAAAAACTCGATATCTTTTAATGTATAATCTTTCAATAAAAATGAAAAATTGATGGTATTCATATACATGAAAAAATATACTTGTATAAAAATAAGCAACATTATCATCTCAAATGACTTGTATTGATTCATCACAGAGTGTTTTGATCTAGAATCTATCATTTTTCATTTTTTTCCGAGCAAATTATTCATTACTTCTCTTTACTCATTTTATTCTTTACTCTTTACTCATTTTATATTTTTTGAAGGCTGATTTTTATAATTCCAACAGGATATTAGATATTGGCTGGTAATTAAAAATATGACAAGTGCATGTTTGCTAAAATTTACATTAAATTATATGTATATATAAGTTGTGTGTGTGTGTGTACACACACACACACACACACACACACACACACACACACACACACACACACACACATATATATATATACACATTCATACATAATAGTTAATCTTTTGATATTTACAAAGTAAATTCCATATTAAATTTTAAATACTATCTTTGCATTATACTTTATTTTGCTCATTTATTTAAAAAATATCTAAAAAACGCATTGCACTTGGTAATATTTTTAAATTACTCGCCTATTCGATGGTCCAATTTTAATTTATATACATTGATACTAGAATGAGAGATCCTTGAAGGACTTCCATGTATTGTACATGTATTGTTATATGGAAGAGAATCGTGATTACAAGTTCTTTAAATTGTAACACACACATGCATGTGTACACATATGAATTAGATATAAAAGAATTAGAATATTAACAACTTGGACTCTCTCGTGTATCATGTAACAATACAACCAAAGACTGCACACATTTGTGTGAAAAATAGCAGTATCCTAGATTGTTTATGCGTTGGAATCCTTAGTAAATTACTCTCTTCTATAATTTAATCGTTTTTATCAAATAAAGATATTTATATGTAAAAGAAAAGCGATAAACATTTTTTTTAGACTGCGACTTTTTTTTTACATTTTTTATTGAGATTAGTTAGAGATACATAAGATCTTATTATTAGATAGTAAATGTGCATTTATATAACTTGTCTTTAATACATAACATTTTTTGATGCAATGAATATGTGTTTACCAACTTCATGCATTTATTCTGCGAAATAATTGTTGTTGTACAATAATAACTAAAAGATAATTAAAAAAGTGACATATGTATTTTTCCGAACAAAATATTTTTGAATAAAACACAGTGTAATAAAAAATTAAACTATTCTTTCCCATGTAGTACATCGAATGTTCACAATTTGCATCGCATAAAGTGTTGTATATTTTTATGCAATGTTGTACAGTGAAATGATCATCCGTGAACGTTATGTAAAAAAGTTGATACGTTTAGTTTGAACTTAGCATGACATTTAAATTAATTCTTTGCACACGAAATTCTATCGTATGTCATATCCTATATTCAAATATATAACATTCTTTCATCATTTGTTACGTACTTTGAAAATTTATAAGTATTATGAAAGCATTATTTAATCTCTTATTAAATATAAAATTTATTTATTTTAGCAAAAATTTATTTTATAAAATTTATTTTAGCAAGATATGCAAAAGATAATAATATAGTACAAAAATATAAAATTCTAGTATCTCCGTATGTGATATTTTCATTCCTCTATCGTTCTCTCTTTTCCTCTTCTCTCTTATTCTTCTGCTTTAATATTAATACTAAATTGAAATTGAATTCTCATTCGATGTTTACATTTTCTCATATTATCAGCGCACATTTAGCATTAAATATTATCTTTTATTTTATGTTTAGATTAAACACATCTCTTTTTATATTTGTTAAATGAAAATTACGATTGGATATCTATGTTACATATCTAGGTTCAATTTTAGATTCTAGATTTATAAAGGAAGAATTAATATAACATAATTTCTATAATCTCAATTCCTGAAAATATATTTTATACATCTCATTTCTTAGCCGATTTATTATTGTTGCATTCTTTCACTTCCACAAGAAGCACCCGATAATTTTGCGTAAATGTTATTAAGGCCAAAAAGGGATCCAAACCATTCGATCAGCTGATGACCTACCCTCGGAGATTGAAGAGTCGTTCTTGCTGTTACGATTTCTACCTCATTTTTCTTATTTATTTCTTCGTCTTGCAGCTCTAGTTGCTCCAAAGGCTGAACATCGTTAAACCAATCATCGTCAGGCAGCGTCTTCATTTTATTAGAGCTCTTTTCGTCGGAACTCATAGAGTTCACATTTTTCTCGTTTACTTTGATCGTTGTCCCTATTTTGACGGATGATTCCTTTTCGAGATTTCTTGAATTCGCTTTATTTTTATAATTCTTCAGTGTTGAGATCGTTTTTATTTCATCCAAGAAACTATTATTGGGATATTCGAGATTTGCATATCTATCTGTCTTTATCTTGTCGGACCAGATTAATTTTAAAGCTTGCAAATCAGAAACTGCCGTGTCCTTTGCCAGAATCTTTTCTACATTTGTATTGTTGGTTTGGCGGAAGAAGAGATTGTATGTGGCGCGGAGTTTTTCTAAAAATTTATCTAGAGGCTTCGTAGTATTATTTAATTGTTTTTGATATATTCCTTCTACTGGAAATAGTTTGGTTATTTGTGGCTTCGATTGTACTCTTGCGGCGAGGAGCTGTAAGATATAGCAAAAGATAAAAAATTTCTATATCATAATTTCTATTCCAATATATATATATAGTAATTTTTTAAATATAAACAAATTTAGTTTAGTTGAAACGAAAAATGTACATTTCTCTTATATTATTCTAATTTTTAAATATAATATTTAATATATAATATTAATGGTTCAATTGGTATCAGGATGATGTAAATATATGTATATGTATTGTGTATGTGCATATGTGTAATAGATGGAGTCTTTCCCACAAAGTGAATTTTATCGGACATGATGATGTAATATACTGCGGATAGGTGATACAACATATAATCGTTTATTACGACATATCTTCGCCACTCACTGAATCTATCAGCATCGTACGGTAGATTTCATTTTCACAAAAATTATAAGTTATGTTGACAAGTATAAGTTATGGCGATTTTCACGCTCTGATTAAGAATAAGCACTATTTTTCGTAAAAAGTCTATCATTAAAAGACGGAAATAATTATGTTTAAAGTTTTGATATTCTCATGATGCAATTAGAAAATTAATCTACTTGATATAAAATATTCCAATAACAAAAATTGGATCAAATATATTTCTATATAAAGAGCATTCCTGAAAAATATATATTATATATATATATATAGCTTACAACTTTAAGAAAAACTTATTTCATTAAATAATTTATTAAAATTAATTTAAAAAACGATAAAGAGATAAAAAGTAGTATGAAAAGACTTGAAAAATAAACCGATACTTTTTTTGAACTAGATTAACAGAAATAATAAAATTCGAAAATTTTTAATACAGAAAAAGATAAAACAAAATCGAGAATTAATCATTTAGATTGTTGACTGGACTCTCTTTAATAAAAATCTAGGTGTGTCAATATTGGATAAGTGTAAAAATGTAGTTTCGGATTAAAATTATTTTGTTTTCTAATATTAGTGGATAACTTCAACGAAACATCAGAAGTTGAAAATCATCATCCATCATAGTTTTTTTAGAAACTTATGAAGGGAATTAAATCATAATTTGATGACAAAAAACAATAAAATTTTCTCTAAATAAGTAAAAAAAGATATCAATAGAGGAATTACCGCGAAAAAGAAATTGCCAATCGATGAAAGCACAAAAAGATGACATGTCATATGTTAAATTATTGATAATGAAATGAGATCAAGGACGAAAACATTTAAAGGAACTCTATTGTAAGACATATAAACATGATGTATCTGATCTGAGTTAAATATAGTCTATTTAAATTTTGTGAAATTGATTAATGATTGGAAAATAAAAGGACTGTAATTTCATATCCTATAATTTAAGAGAGAGGAATTTTCTCTTTCAATCTTTTAATTATTGAATTATTTAATTAGGAAAATATAACGTTAATTTTAGCAGATATATATGAATAAGAAATCAATAAAAACTTATAAAAGTATATTTCAATTTATAAATAAAGTAAAATCTAAATCAATTTATAAATAAAGTAAAAAGATTTATAAAATACATTTTATTATATAGAAAGATAGATTGTAGAAGAAAAAGTTAATCAAATTTTGGTAAAAATAATATTCTGACGCAATTACTTTATTAAAGAAAAAATTGAATATGTATATTTTAGAGAAATATACGTATCTTTTTTTAAATTTATCCTCAACATATTTACATGTGTATAAAAGTAAAAATTTAAATTAGAAAAAAATCTTTCATCGATTCACAAAAAGATACAAATAACATTAAGAATAATTTTATGATATTTTAATATGATTTCTATAAACATGTAAAAGATGTAAAGTAATCAGTTATATGATACTTACACAAAAGAGGCAATACCCTAAGAGTTTCATAGTTCTGAGCGTATTTTCCGATGGGACGTTTTATGACTTCTTTAGACAGTCCGGACGATCGACTGAAGCCTTCTTTGATTTCAAAACCTCTTTATACTTACGTGCAATGCAAGAACATGAGTGTATACCACGATTGATTGGCTTTCGCGGCTTACATCCATTGTCTTTTGCCTGGGCCTCTACAAACCATCGGTATAAAGTTGCTCAACGAGAGTTGACAGTCGTGGCACGCATGGTTGCTTTGTAGTCGACTCCGTTTGTACATTGATATACGATATTGGTCCTCGATTTTTTTATGGTAGGTCAAGGTATTGCCAAAAACGCTTCAGTCATATCACAATTTATATAAGGCAAAAATTGATGGATGAATTTTGTATTAATTTATTTTCATCGAGTGCTGATATAATATAGCAAAGGAATATAGTGATATATACTAAGTTCCTTCAAATGTAATTTTTCTCTTAGAGTTTATTAGATTTTAATTTTTTTTATTTTATTACATGTGTGTCATATTTTTTTACAAAATGCTAATTTTAAGAGCGATGTGTATAGGGAAAAAATAACTCATGAAGAGAGCTTTCTGCTTCTGACGTAGTCAGAATGTAATTTATTTAACAAAACGGCAGAATGTACACGAGAGTAAAATATATTCATGTATAAATTTACAATAAGAATTTCAATGGGCGCAACATGGGCAAGTTTTTTACGCTCACCTAGATCATCGGCGGTCATGTTACAATTATATTTGAATATCTTAAATTTTTTTTGTACAAGATAGGTCTAGTTACACCTTCTTAATCAACAGAGAATCTTGCGTTTTGTCTTTATGTGCTGAAACACTCAAATGTATGTAATACATTATAATGAAAGAAAAGTAAAGAAAGAAAGCATGTTAAATTTAAAATCTCTGTCTCTTTCAAACTTATATTAAATTAACTTACTGATCAGTTTTTGGATAACAAGATTTTTTTTCTTATAATTTGACGATTATTAATATGTAAAATATTAGATTGAGATCGGTCACGAGAGACATAACTAAGAAATGTGTTTTTTTTTGAGTGTTTGAGCATTACATATACGATATGGAGATTCGATAATTTAAAGAGTAATAGATGAATGAAATTTTTATTATCTTCTAAGGAATGAAGATTTTTTCAAGTGTATAAAAAATATAATATACATATTTATATAAACTAAAATATATGTATGTAATGTTGTTAGTTCTAGAATATTATATAGTTTTAAAAGTGAATATTTAAGGAGCCATATGAAAAGGAAAAAAAGAAAAAAAAATGAAAGAAAAAACTGCAAAAATTGAAATATATCTAAATATGTAATATCACGAAAGCATATAGAATAAGGAAGATTATCGAACAATATTCGTATATATATTGTACAATATTTTAATTTGCCGAGAAATAGCTGTAGGATGAGTTAAAGTGGACTATTAAAATTTTTACAGACTCTATATTGGCTTAATGAAAGGCTAATACGCGAGGGAGAACAGTAGCATAGGAGATAAATCACGAGAGATTTAATAGTTGAGTCGAGTTTTGCAAGGCAACTGACATTAATGCAAAGATAAAAAGGATTTATTACATAGACGAGCAATTACATTATTTCAGTTACTACAAATGTGCCATAAGATTTTCTTATTTTGACTAGTTTCGAAAAATTGATCGCAAATAGAAACTAGTTCAGCGGAGAGGACTATTATAGATACCAAATATGGTAAGATAGTATAATTTTTTAACGAAATGTTTTCGATTGGAAGGTATATAGAATTGCTTTTTATTGGCATCATATCCATTAGTTTAGGAATTTTGTGCGCGATAGTTGCAGTATCGTGCAATCTATGTTGAAACATTAAATAAACAATTCACTTCATAAATTGTAAGTTTTTATTTAAGGAAATGTTTAATATAAATTGTACGAGATTCTTAAGTCATACTGCGCGATTCTGTGAAATTGTAAATAGTGAATAACACACAACTCACCATTTAGCAAGTAATATTCTGCAAAATTTCGGATTTAATACTAGAGAAAATTGAAGCATTTAATATCTAAGAGAGTGTTAAGAAAGTGAAAATTGTAATTTGTTTGTTTGTTCCTATATATATAATAGAAAACTTTTGAAAATTGACAAGGAAATTATTTTGTAATTACAGAGTGAAAGTAGAAATATCGAAATAATATATATGTACATATCGTGTATATTAATATACACGATACACGTATATGTATCGAGCAATATATATTGATTGTCAAGTAAAATCAAATTCTCTATAAATCAGCCATTAACGTCTCGATTGAGCAGTAAGAATTTTGGTCGTGATATTATCGAGTGCAGAGATTCATCATCTAAATCGTTTGATAGTAATAGTATATTAAGTGTATTTAGCCGACATAAAATGTGTGTATACTATAGTTTAGTTTTTACAATGAGATTAAGAAACAGCAAGATTTTTAGTGCGTGTCTAATACAGGATACAAAATATCTTGTGCAATATGTGATAAAGATAACGCAATGCGAAGTGTTATATATAACCGTTTAAATAACAATAATTTTATACCCGTAACAATTCGGAAAATGTCTACTGACAGCAAATTGCATAAATAGAACATTTATTTATTAGCTCCAATCTTTTTCTTATAAAAATATTAAATTCTACTATATAATGTATTTTTTCGAAAGAGTTTATATATATTTATTTATAATAAAAAATAATATATTTAAAAATTAAAAATATTAGATACAATCCAATATACAAAAATGTCAGAGAAAAAAAAAAAAAATATATATATATATATATATATATATATATATATATATATATAATTTCAATCACCAATTCATTTATAAAGATGTCAAATTAATAAATTATATTTTACTAAATAATATATAAAAAGTTATAAATTTATTGTACGAATAATTATAATGTAATATTATATATAACAATAATTTTAGCGTATTTGCTATCAGCAGACATTTCATCCATATTTCTGGAAGGATTCCTATTCGCATCACTTTTTTAGTTCTAAATATAACTGTCTAGATTTTGAATTATTAGACAGCATATAGAATCAATCTTGTACGATGCAATGCAGATCTTCATTTATGAGCTGCCAAGTATATCTAGTAAATGTATTAGGAAGTGTATGTATATTGTTTCTCCCATGGCATTAATTCGCCATTTTTTATAAGGCTCGTTATTCCCTATGCAATAATATGGAGAATACATTGGTTCGCATAGACTCATGCTCTAAAATTGTCATGTTAAATAAAAGTTTATGAAAACATGAATGCTGAATTGTATATTAGATAATTATCTTTATCGACTAATAAGTCCGTCGCAGTCTCCATGTGAATTATATGTATGAAATAGATTGAGATGCGTGCAAGGCTCAGGATACCCGATGCATCTCGGACCACCCGTTGTGTGAGCTCTGAAAAATCTACCTCTTAAATTCATACATTTGTTTTATATGGTCCCCCGTGTTTCAATAAGGTCCAATGAAATCACGAGTCTCTCTTTAGTTGCCTTTTCTTGGTCGTTTGGCGCCATTAAAATACAATGGAGAAATTATAAAATTTCGAGTATAATAAATTTTATGAATTCAACCAAATCACTTAATTATTCATTCTTTAACGCTAAAGTCTTTATAATACAAGACAATTCAAATTAAAAAATAAATGTTATTTTTCATTAAAGATTATATTTAAAAAATCTTTAAATTTTTTAAAACTTTTTATACTTCTCTTTCTTAAAATATAATTTTAGCAGATATATATTTATAATTAAAAGCACACAAATTTTATTTGAATGTAGAATAGGAAGCTAATTGTAAATTGCAATTATAATAAAATTCCAAATAACAATTTCTGTAGATATTATAATCTACAAAATATACGTTAAGAATTTTATTATTGATGAAGTCTATAAAATTTTTATTGTTATATAAAGAAAAATGTATTGAATAATACGAACCTAAAAAGAACATCGTTGTATCGCGGATTTTTATTTACGAGCCTATGTATTTAAAAAATATGAATATCATACATACAAAATATGAATACAATATACGTACACCTTTACATATATGTACAACTATACAACCTACGCGGCTTGTAAATCGGGAGTGAATTGCAAAAATCTGACATTTATATCGACGATAAAATCTCGGGCACATATGAGCGGTTTTCTCGCCGCGTAATTACGGTAGAAAAAACATCGATGGAAACATGTTATATACAGAGGTTGTATACATATAAGATTTATCACGATAATTTTAAAAATGTAACATGTTCTTCCTTTTTTTTCATTTTTTGCGAGAATATGAAAAGACGTGAGCTTTGCATATAAATAGCAAAAGGATGACTTCGAAAATCTCAATCTAACAATAAGAGAAATCATTGCGCAAAATGAAAAAAAGCCATCAAGTAATCAGAATCATAACTTATGTAAAAAATAGAAGAATATTATAAAACTCTAAGAGATATATATGTAAATTAATAACAGATTTAAAATATATGTAAAATATATAAAAATTTATATAATTAAATAAAAGTTTATATTTAAAAATAAGTATTAATCTATATAATAAACAATTATATATTTTTTTATATACATGACATAGTTATATAATTTATATATGTATATTTAATTAAAAAATTTAATCAATTTTTTACTTGTAAAATAATATAATTTTAATGATTTCTCTCTCTCTCTCTCTCTCTCTCTCTCTCTCTCTCTTTCTCTCTAGAATTAATTGATTACAAAATATTTTATTGGTACTCATATAAATTACAAATTAATCGTGCGGCTAAAAAAATTATATATGTGCAAGAAATTTCTTATTCACTTTTTTTGGAACAATTGTTAGTTACTTTTTTTTAATTTATTCGAATCTGCCAATCTAGTTTAGAAGAGAATTTGATTAATTATAATCAGAAATATATCACAGCAGTAAGTCAGAACTTTTCTTATGCATTTTAGAAATATTATTTTTAATGAAATTTTTAGCTGTAAATTTTTGGCTAGTAACTTTGTTTAAATCGTAATTAAATATTTTATCTTATATTTTAATTAATTTATTAATTAAAATAATATTAATTTATTAATTAATATTAAATAAAATAATATTATTTATTAATTAATTATAATATTAATTAATTCCTGTTTAATAGTATGTTCATGAAAGCTAGTATCTGCAATGTGTAGATTTTATACTTGCGTTATTTATATTTGCATATTTATATTGTTTATTTTTTTACAGAATCTATTATAAAATCCATATTGATTACAAATATGACATATTCTGTTCTTTCATATTATTTTATCTAAGTTGACGTGAAAATTTGATAAACCGAATATTCGTAAAATTGATATTCACTTTAAATTTTAACATTTAACATCGAAATCGAATGTGACGACAAATGAAAAATAAGATTTATAAAAGAAGAAAATATTGTAAATATTGTAAATATACAAATATAAAAGTTTTGTAAATATTGTAAATTACTCATACTGTAAACTTTTAGCATGACATTTTTACGTTACTGTGATAATATATAAAAAATAAAATGTTTTTATAATGAGATTTCCTCTCTAATACTAGATTGGTAGAACATAGCGATAAATCTTGAAGTTATTTAAAAATACTTTCCTTACGATATTAATGGAATGTAAAATCCGGCGAGGCATGCTTCATTTCGGATCTTTCATCATTAAATTAACCATTTGCTATCTTTCAGATATCATATACACATTTTAACGCAATAAAATTTGTCGTCCTAACCTATCATAAGACAAGAATACCATCAAATTTTGTACCATCAACTTCCCGATTAAGTTGTAACTTACATCATAAAATTCATTTTCTTGTTATAAGTATAATAATGATATAATTTGAAATTAAATAAATCACCTTTTATATTATCTCTTATTATATATACATTATTGAACAAAATTGTTTATAAATAATATTTAATCGTTTTTTCAATTTCTGAGAAATTGCTATAATGATACGTATAGTACTTTATTACTTTTTTTATACAATTATTAGTCATTCAAATTTTTATACACACACAAATATTAATAAGAATTATTTTAAATAAAATACAACAAAAAGATAATATAATGGTGATCAATCATTTAATAGTATTACACGTTATAGTAATTAAAATTTGCCAAGACTTCATTATGTAGACAATATTGGCAGTCAATAGCGAAATATACGTAAATATAATTAGAATTCTATCTTTTATATTTTTAAGAGTTATATGATGAGTTATATATATATATATATATATATATATATATATATATATTTATGTGTGATCATTAATTGTAAATAACATCATCTTATGCACCATCAACCAACAACAATCAGACAACTGACTCTATCATAATATAGAATATAAAATATTCTCAATCGCCATATTATATTTTTATTTATATTAAAAATTGTGAGATCTATCGAAAAATTTCCAATAAGCCTTTGACCCGCGTTTTTATCAGCCTCGCCGGTTTGGAGAATTTTCGCATACCGCAACATAAATAACTCACGAAAAGCTCCTATTTGTAAAACTGAAGCTAACGTTCCGCAATTTTAACGATAAAAGCAATGTGAATAAAATCGATAACATTTATTTGGAAGATTAATTTTTCGTTGGTTCGTTTGATGAATTTGTCTTTTGATGTCGCAATCGCTGGATCGCGATCGAAGCTTTCCATTTAATGTTGATCTGTCATTTAAAGATTGGGATGTATTTCCTTATTTTGTGTTACTTCATATTGATAATACCACTACCTTCTCTCGGTTTCTGTGACTGGCGACAAGGGATTTTCCACTGATATTTGTCTGTCAATAAATGAGGCAATTTAAAAAAAAATTAATAAATGTGTAGACGCAATACTAATGCGATATTATCTTTTATTATCAATTGATTTATTATCAATTTATTTTATTATCAATTGATTTATATTTAAATAGCCAAAACAATTTATTCTTCCGATAAACAAAATAAGAATAAATTACGCGTATTGTGTGTAAAAAATTAATACAATGACTGTGACATGAATAATAAATCTGCGGAATGACATATTTATGATTAAATTACATAATCATAGCTTGAATGAATGTGTAATTTCTTAAATAAAATATGAAGTTAGAAAGATCTATAAAGTAAAGCATTTTAAAATGTATGTTTCATAAATTTAAATGTGATTACGATCTTGGATACGAACATTTATATATTTCTATAGGAACATTTTTCTAAATCGACATACATTCGAATAATATAATTTGTCATATATTTGTGTTATTTCTTTTGATAAATATATTTTGATGCGAATGAGAATTTGCTAAATAAAATTCCATTATATATAAAAGGCATGAGAAAATTTTGAAGTGGAATATATTAAAAATCTCTATCCTATTCCTATGAGTAGAATAATGTTTACCTGCCACTTGTGTGCCAATCATAGGAATCCGGTGCGGAATTGCTTCTCCCGGTCTCGTGAAAACGTTCTGTCTTCGCGTCTCTTGCATCATGTTGCGGTGAAGAAGATACGCCACTTTCTTGTCCACTCGCCGGTGATTGCGTACCGTTATTTGCCGTTCGTCCAAGTCGTTTAGGCAAGAATGGATTCTGAGAAAATTAATTTGCAATTCCTCCTTAGTGTTTTACTCTGATAATTTAGGAATACGTTGAATGTTGACTTTCTTTACGAAGTTTGCGAATCGACTTTTCGCATCGGCGATAAAAATGCTAATTCGCTTGAAAGATCAATTCCATGTGAATTTCACATGAATGAAGAAAAAACATAAATAAATAAATGTTTTGATATTGAGAATGCTACGAGTTTGAATGTAAAGGGTTTCGTGGTTAAAATTATTCAAAAATATATTTGTTATCTATAATTATGATTGTCTATTTTCCATTTCTATTCTCAAGAAAAGTATAAAATTAAAATTCGAAATTACTGATTTTGAGATTGGTTTTTAGGTAGGATTTTTATAATTATTTATATTTATTAAATATTGTTAAAATTAAATATTACACATCTGTTATATAAAATCTTGCATTGTCTTTCAATAACTATAGCGATCGGCGATTGATTATAGTCATTTTGTGTGTGTGGTTGTTGCGAGATAATCATATTATTTTGCACGGTTAGCTGAACATTCATTATGGACAGTAATTGTTTTGGTGTAAATGATCTGGTCGGTAGTTAAACGTTATGATCAGCAAATGTTATGATGCCAGACGATGTAATAGTTAGTATGTGTGCCGGTATGTTTAATAAAATTTGTGGTTGATTGAATTTTGATTTAAATTTCGCAATTTTTTAAAAGAGAATCGTAGAAAATTTTATCAAATATACTATTTTTACAAAGCACGTTTTTTCCATTTTAATTTTAATTTAAGATAATCATAATAAAAACGTGTTATGAACATCAATAAATTTTATACGTATTATTCTATTTATTAGAAATATATAATATAATATTTTGTTAATATAAAATGTTTATTTGATATAAATAAATTATAAGTCAAGAATAATTGACGCGCTCTAAATGTTATTTTAATTATTGCATTTAATTGTTTTACAAGCAAAAAATCATGCTCTTTTTTTTTTCTTTTCTTCTTTTTAAAAAGATAAATAAAATGCTGCTAAAATATCTGATATTTCACAGCGTGTTTATAATGAGGTATTTCTATTGATGTTATTAAAGAGCTGAAGCGTTATTGAAATATTATTGACATGTAGACAAATAGAATCGTATGTAAAACAAAGCTCATCTAACACATCAATGAATCCGATAAATGATCGTTCTGCTTTCAGTAATTATTTTATTATTAAAACCAAACATTATAAAAATCATGATATATAACTGATGCGCGAAATCAAGTGCTTGTATTTATATTTTGTAAGATTAAACGTGAATATACATCTATTGACATTATCGACGTACAACTGTCGAAACTGTCGTTATGTAATATTTACGTGAGCACGCATCGTATCGAAGTTAAACGGATATATATCGGAATACATCGTTATGACATGTTGCAAAAGCGATCATATGACAGAGCCTGCTTTCTGATATCCACGTATCACAAATGTTTCATGAAACAAATTGCTCCTATTTGAATACAATCGCGAGAAAATGATTGTATTGTGATTTGTCAGAGATCAGTAACGCTTATAGTGTTACGATTTTTTTCAAAGAGAAAAGGAAGAATGCATTTTGCATTTCGATCAAAGCATATATTTAACAATTTAGTGTTCGCGATTTAATAAATCTAATTAAATATAGCACAACAATAGATGGGCAAAATTGATTGATAAAAGTCATTGAAGCGCAAGAAAAAACCTTTTTTCATTTTATTAATTTATTTCAAAATATTCAATATATTTTACTATATACATTAAGTTTCAGACGATATTCAATTTTAACGATATTGGATATTTTAGAATATATTAATAAAAAAAAGGTTTTTTTCTTGTGTACTTCAATATACTACACTTCGGCTTTTATTTACCAACTCTGTTCATTAGTAATTGTTATATTAATTGTTGTACTTTCTAAATCTATTTTTTATTTTTATTTTCTAATTAAAAAACAATTATCACAGAAAGTGAACACATCGTTGTATCCTCAAAAATTCTTCTACATGTTTTCTCTCGCTAATGCAATGTTAAAGTCATTTTCTTGATTTTTCCGAATTTTTAGGATCAAATATACAGTCTTCACTCACCTGAAAACTATGCTGTTTCAGCATATTCTTGACCATAAGCAAGGTGCCAAGTCTTATGACTTCTTCTTCGGTTACGGTGACTGCTACACGACAGTTATCGGTCTCGCTCGGCAGTGGATCGGTTGCGTTATTAGTCAGCCACGAGTGCTGCTTCATCTTCGAGATCGTGATTCGACTTTCCGGCACTTTATCAAGCATCCGCCCAATCAGATCGCGCATATCCGGAGACATGCGATGTGAAGGAAATACGAGCGGTTCATTACGAACAATTTCATGAATAGGTCTGCCATCGGAATCATTCCAGGGCAGATGTCCTGCCACGAGTGCGTACAACGTAACTCCCATTGACCATACATCGCAGGGCTAGAATCAAATATATATTCTTGATCAATTTTTAATTTGCTAAAGATAGTTATATAAAATGAGATTTATTGATTAGAATACTTTATTGTTTTATAATTTAAAAAATATTTGATATTTTTACTATTTATAAAGTTGAATTTAAAATATTTGCTAATATATTATTAAACTATAAAATATTTTAAAGCAACGTTACATAAATATTTTAATAACGATAAATAATATTCATAATCTTTATTAAATAATAAATTATACACAATTTGATATAGAAATCTGCTCGATCTGTTGGACGATATAAATGAATTTGTATTGATAGCATATATGTAATATCAATTTAAAATGTCAAAGTATAAGCCAAATTCTATATTGTGTCATATATCTAATTTATATCGTTATATTTAAATAAATAATTTGTAAATCCATCCAGCAGTAAAACAGCTGATAAGTCGATAAAAATTTTATTGAGAGAAAAATGCGAAAATACCGTGAGTACATTCAGTAATAATGTTATTTATACAATGTAATATGCAAATTTAAGCTTGTGCAGTGCGTAGGATTGTATAATAGAGTTATATAATTTTACGCGATTATGCGAAAAGATCACATTTAATGATTACATTATAAATATATTAGTCTATTGTTGTATCGCGTATTATAATGTAATAGATTTTCTCTTTGTAATATTTTGTGAGTTGATTTTTTAATAACAGCTTGATATTTTACTTTGAAAATTAAGAAATGTGATTTTTCTATTTTAAATATTTTAATAAATTTAATAATTTTAATAATTGAAAAATAATTTTTTCAATAATGAGAAAAATATATAAAATAGTCGTTTTGTTTTGCCTTTAAAGCTTTTAATATCTTTTACAAATATTCAGTCCGATAGAATGTAAGACGTCGGAAATTGATCATGAATATCGAGAGATGCTTTAATTACGATTGCATGAATTATTATGTTATTTCTTGCATTATTTATTAAGCATATTATTTATTAATATTTATAAATTTCGAATATTGTGGTCTATGTATGTATGCAACACATACACACGATATTCGAAATATACAAATTGTTAATAAATAATAAATAAACGATAAATATTTGTCAATAAATAATGTATCTTTATTACACATTGTTTTATAGTAATAACAACATTGTTTGCAATATTAACGCTTTTAATATAATCGTATCGCTGTGAAAAATTTTCAAATATGCGCGCGAATTCGAACGATTATGACGTCACTAAATTTCGTAAGCATTTCACTTCACGTCGTATGTCGAGTGCATAAACGAGTCACGTTGCACCTCGCTTTTGATCTTTTATCTTTTTATCGGAAGAATTTCGTACATGAATGAATGTCGGAAGTGTCGAATCTAGTAACGTGCAATTCTATGTGATCTCGGTATATTAACAGATTCGTGGGATGATGTAATTTTATGTAAATCTCGATATACGTAATCGGCGTCGGTCGTCTCGTATTCTGTATGCACTGGATGTTTGCATGCAAATATCAAACATTTTGATATGCTGTCAATAGTAAGTTTGCAAATGGAATTTCCGAGTATTAATAGCATTATTCAACGAAGTTTAATTTTGCGTAATTAGTATTTAAGTATTATAATGAAATCAGATACTTCGGAAAATTTTCTTCTGATTAAGAGAGATTTTATTAAAAGCTAGCACTATTAGATTTCCTATTACAAATTGTTTCATCATAACAATCGCAATATTAATATTCTCGTTAATATTTTTCAATCGTATCGCTCCCTCTCTATCTCCCTATGTCTTTCTCTCTCTGAGGAATTTTCGCGCAACCTTGGACGTCATCACGTGACCGTGAATTTAGGCGCGCATGTAAGCGCGTTACTGTTTACTTCACTATACACGTTGTCGGTCGAGTCACGTTCGCATCGCGTTCCCACGTTTTTCCATTCGAATTCGAGTTTCGTGTACGAACGAGTGTCGGGAGTGCCGAATCTAGTAACGTGTAATTGTGTGTGATGTCGATATATTAACAGATTCGCGGGAATCATGTTAAAGTGATACATAATCGGCCCGGGCCCTCTCTGTATGCATATTGGACATTTGCACGCAGATATCAATCATTTTGATACTCAATAGTGAGTTTGCAAATGGAATTTCCGAGTATTAATAGCATTCAACGAATTAATTCTGTATAATAGTATTATAATGAAAGCAGATGCTTCTAAAAATTCTCTCTTTCCAATTATAATCAAATATGAGCTATTACTATGCTGCTTAGGTTCCCTATTTATAGATTGTCATCATAATAATCGCGATAGATTGTCTATCATAATAATCGCGATTAATGTTGTCGTTAATATTTCAATCGTATCTCTCTCTCTATCTCTTTCTCTCTCCGAGGAATTTTCGCGCGACCTTGCACGTCATCACATGACCGAATTTAGGCGCGCACGTAAACATCGACTTCATTGTACGCGTCGTCGACGCGCGGACGAGTCGCGTTCCCGCATCCTTCATCCATTTTAAATTTCATGTACGAACGAATATCGGGAGTGCGGTCTTCGCGTGTTAATTGATTCGCGATTATGATGAAAACGTTTCTCGATAATCGAAATCGGCGAAATCGTTATTCTGCGTTGTCAAAAGGTGTTCGAAAGATTCTTTTTGTGCGTATATAATAATGTTCGACAAGTTTTCGCGAGTGTTTGAAGCATCAAGGAGCATCCAGAGACATTGAACAATATTGAAGAACATCGAAAAGCACCGAGGAACATCGAGGAATATCGAGGATCATCGAGGGACAGGGATGAATTAGTTGAGACAGGTTAGATTATCACATTATTTACTCGCGTATGATCGATGTGTATGTGTATGTGTGTGTACTTGTACGTGTTCACGCATATAAAGCTATGTACGGACTATATAAAATTGTCCAGAAAAAGAGAAAAAATTACGTAAATATCTTTTTATATGTTTCCTATACTAACGTATGACTACTAATGAAGGATAGAAAATACCTATTTTTTGTCTCTCTTTTTCTTTATATGTGTGTGACGCGTATATTTGTATAGTCGATCCGCCAGTTCCGGAACTTCGCGTCAGCTGAGAATGTGTCGCGCACGTGACGAGTCGAGAACGTTGCACGCGATATGTCAGGAGCGTCGCATGTGAATCTGTAGATGATTATATTACTTAATCTGTTTGATAGCAATCCGGCGCGTTTTCGATTGACAAGATCGAACAATGAAAGAACATTTAACACGTGATTTTAGGCGCTTTCAGCAAGCAGCAGAGGACACAGTATTACTTCGTCCTTGTTGCCGAATATAAACGAATGATTACAGATGCTCATTTATAAAATGAGCACATTGAATGTGTAATTTTCTATCGGATTACTTTCTGAATTTAATATATAACGTTAATTAAAACATAATAAAATGAGAAGGAATTTTCTCCTCTTTTTTTCGTTGCGCAATTTTAAAATTTCTTTAGATTATCTAGAGTTGTCAAAAAGAAAATAAAAAATTTAGATAAAGTTTAAAAATCATTTTCAAAGTTTATATACACAGGACAATAATAGCTATAATAAAAATTGATCATTAGATTTCACGAGAGAGTTTTAAATATGTATAATTAGCGAAGTATTACAGTAATTTTAAAATTTAGTCATTTTTAAATATTTGACTTATTGATTAATAAATTTATTTTTATGTGATATATATATATATATATATATATATATATTTAAATTATATAAATTTTCTTTGCTTTTGAAATATGATAATGCCACTAGTGAATAGTAATATTTGGAAACTGTGTATCAAAGTACAGCTCAATACTCGGCATTGCAATTACTACATAGCAGAATATAATGTATTCTGACATAGTATAGTTGGGATGCTTCATTTGCGGAAGTCATGTAGTGCCGACGGCGGAAGTTGCGAGTTCCGCGATGATGGTGCATAATTAAAGAGGTGATTAATTAAATAATGTTTGTGAGAAACGTTGTTAACGACGCAAAGATATCGCGCTGGCCTTCCTGTGTAGGACATCTTATTCATTGTCAGGATAAATTATAAATTTTTATTTTATTTCCAATTTATTAAAAAAGTTTAATATAAAACGCTTATTTTTATGTTAAAGATAATGATACATAAAAAAATGTTCTCTTTAAAATTTATAACATTTTGAATTTTTTTTTATACAAAATTCAATCTTTGACATATAAAAAGTATTTAAATTTTTTTTACAATTTCCTGTATTCTAATTAAGAATTTTCCTCTTTGAAATAAAATATTATTTTCTTTATTTTATTTTATAAATATATATATATATATATATATATATATATATATATATATATATATCTTGATGCGCATTATATCATCCGTAAAACAATCTGTAAATGTCAAGCTTCTATGTTTATTAGATCCACAAAGAAAATGTTTCTTATCTATAAAAAGCTTATGGGAATCCAACCTCAGAGATAAACACGTCCATGAACTTTATATTCTGTGACATTTAAAAAATATCCTTAGTCAGCTGGGAATAGGTGCAGATGATGCATAAATAATACGTATCAAATCTTTAAATATTAAAATTCTTACTATTTTTTCTTATTAGGTTGCACAGTGTATTATTGTTCTATAATGATTCAAATGTTTATGTACGTTAGCTTTGATTTACCAAGAAATATGAAAGTTTCAAAACATATATATAAGATTATTTCGAGAAAGCTCGGAATTTATAGTGCATCACTCGCATGTTTATATTTCTTAATTAAATACATTTATTAATCGCTAAAATAATTCTTTTTTCTTATTAGATTGCACAATATATTATTTTATAATTATTCATATGTTTATACACGTTAGCTCTGATTTATAACTAAGAAATATGAAAGTTTGGAGCAAAACATATATGTAGAACTATTTCGAGAAGACTCGGAATTTATAGTGCATCGCTCGCATGTTTATATTCCTTAATTAAACAAACTTACTAACCATTAAATTAGTTAAACTTGTGAGGGAATTTCAATAACGTTAAAACATGCATGATAAACTAATGCGTGTTGATTCATGAATATTACATGTATCCATGTTCTTTACTTTACACTTTTGCAATTAAGATAATCTTTTCGTAAAAATAAATGAATAAAATATATTTTTACAAAAATTTCTAAAAAACATAAAAAATTCAAAATTTATGTATTATATACATTTATACGTTTGTTTTAAGATTTTGTTGAAATAAAATTTGCATGCACATTAGAGATTAATGGAATGATAAATTTTCCTATTTGTTTATCTCTGAATCTTTCTCTTCATGTTATTAAATTTTTATTAATTATTTATCTGGTTCCCATTGTGATTCTTTACCAATAAATTGCCAGTGTGGTCGATTTAAATTATTTTATTTTATCTACTGGCGACATTCAAGAATTTAATATTAATTATTTATGTTATTAAGTTTTTTCGTAAATGTTTAATGGAAATCTTTGTCATCATTTGTTCCATTACACACTCTTACATTTCTTAATGAAATTAATTTATATTTCTTTTATTTAATTGATTTGATCACGATAGATTCAATGCAATTTATTGAATTTAATTTTTGAAAAGTATAAATTAAATTAAAATAAATTTCAAAAATTAAAAATTTTATTTAAATTATGACGAAAATTAAATATTTGATATTGAACTAATATTGAAATACATTCAGGAAGAAATACCCACAGCGTTAAAAAGAGAGATCATTTTCGCCGTGAAAATAGATTGTTAATAAAAGGGAATTGGAAATATTTTTTATCAAGAGAAAAATTCAACTGACATCTATAAATACAAAAAAATCTGAAACTGACGAAAAAGCAAACCCGCCCACACATTGCTAAAAATTATTATAGAAAAACTAATAATATCGAGGGAGTGAAAAATAAAAAAGTATGTATATTCGAAAAATGTAAAATATTGGTAAGATTAAAAAAATATAAATACATCAAGAAAAAACATTACAAACGCCAAATTTATTAGTTTAATGTTTGAATTGATAAAGGTAAATATACATTGAATTATATATACGAAATATGTATAGAAAATTGATTTGTAGATATCAAAATGTGAAATAAAGATAAAAGTAACAATTTATATGAAAATATTATTTTCAATATTATTTTATTGAATATTTTTTGTATTTAAAAATTTTTATTACTGTTAAACTTTCCAGAATAATTGGCGTTTGCAATTACTCTTTCTAATCTCTTTAATAAATTGAAATAAAAAAATAAATCCGAAATTGTTTATGGAAATGCAAGATTATAGGGAATTTAATGGAGCTAACATTTCAATAAATGTTTAGATCTAATATTTTATGAGATATAAAGTTATATTTGATATTTTTCCCTTCAATAAGATAATATATTATCAATGTGTTTAAAAAAAAAGAAAATATAAAAGAGAAAATATTTCTACTCATAAATGTTCTCAACAAAATCTTTAGTTTTATAACACGTTTTCTGATTTTATTATGATTTTTCTATTTCTCGTATATCAAAATCGAATTCGATTCTTGAAATTTCAAGCGACTTTTTATATTTTTATTTAGAGTTTACGGACGATTTAGCCGGGGTTGTTGCAAACTCGTGATTTTCCGTGCTCGCGTTTCCACTTGTTAGGCTGGTGGTCATTTATTTCGCCACGGCATTTTGCGATGGTTGGATTAAGCTTAATCGAGCGTGTAGATTCGCGGGTCGTGAACCGCTTATTATAGATATTGCCTTTCTTCGACGACGACGCGGCGGAAATTCAAGCGATCGGACGTAGTGCGTTGATAAGGTCATGCGATAGCGTGACAGTTCGGTTAGGTAATCTTGGGAGATATTTATGGTCAGAATAGTTGTTATCGTGCGCTAAATTATGTGCTTCTCTTTCTCTTTCTCTCGGAAGAAAAGTAATAATGCGATCGTAAGCAATTTATGCCTGCGACTAATTAACTAGACAAGTTAATATTGTTTTTCCTGTGATGAAGCCTCGATATAATGGCTTTCTCATTTACGATCATGTATTTCGATTAATATATATGTTATATTATTTTTTTGATGCCCACGAACATGAACATGATGTAAATGATATTGTGATTAAAGTTTATTATAATTGTCGGATTGTTATATTGTTCATATTAAAAAATAAAAATTCAGAGATATAAAAAGAAAGCAAAAATATTAAAAAATAAAGAAAAAATTAAAAATTGAAAATCTGGCACATATTAGTTAATTATTATGGATTAAGGTTACAAATAGAGGATCATATAATCCGGAAGCATATAGTCCAAGATGTAATTGAACTATGACCTTTTTTAGTAATTAAAAATGCGCAAAAGAAAAGAAAAATAATAAAATGTAACGGTAAGCTCAATTTTATACACAACACACTGCACAAAATAAGAATTAATATAACACAAAATAAGAATTAATTGTAAAACATTCTACTTGTAAAGTTATTTCGATTAACAGACACACATATATATGCACCGTTATAGCAAGACAAATTTGCAACAATTTGTGTATATATATTATTCAATTATTTTAATGATATAAAATTTTCTCTCTTATTATATGTATATATATATATATATATATATATATATATATATATACAATATAAGAAGTTGTTAAAAACATGTTTTAATTTTAAAATAACGAATTATAGTATTGAGATTTTAATATTACATTTTTTTATCATGTTCATTCGACAATGGCTTATCATGCAACATGTTATTTATATAAATCGTGATTTAAAATCCAATAGCTATGCCAATTATTTTTTGTTGTAATCAACGTATACAGAAGCACATTCGTGTAAATTGTATCTCATCGCGAAACGTTGATTGAAAAAAAAGAGAAAAAAGAGAAAAACAGAATATATGTAGAAATATATGCGTGCTATTCTTGAGCTTGATAATTACTCTGAGTTTTCTCGAATATGTATTACATCTGTATATTTTTCATTTCTGTACAATATATGCATTATATTAATACTAAAAATACGTAAAATTTTTCTCGAATATTAAAAGATCGGGACACAATGAAACTTTCATTTATTATGAAAAATTTATTCGAAATAAGAAAAATATTTGATTAAATTACCCGATAAGATTTTGAAGATAGTTTGAAGATTCCTTCAATATAAATATTTCATATAAATTTATGTTTTATATATCTTTTTCAATTTTATTATTTCAAAGGCTAATTATAAGATTTCCGTTTGTAATTTATAAAATTTAATGCATTACTTTTTTTATTCCGGAAACTTATAGCTTGTATACATGCAACGCGATATTCTAATGCGAACTTAACACAGCTGCGACATGTTATAAATTATCTCTGCTGCTGCACATTTCTTTGTCGATTTATTACACCGTACATTATTGATTCATTCGGAGATTATTCAGAACAAATACATATGTATACATGTTTAACGGCTTTAATTGAAATGCGTTTAAGCGGTCGATCACGCCTAAGAGCAGGCCGAAAAGTCTTTTCTATTATAATCACGAACGTACACTACACGAGAGGTCTTTGATCGAGAGCCTCTCTCACAATGCATGTAGGTCAATCCGCACGTGTCAGCTCTGCGGTTCAAGAGGTCACTGCTTGCGGATGGAAGTGACGTGTAATAGCCGGTCGATTTATCGATTTTTAATCTCGCGGAGCGAGATCAACCGCTGAATACGTGTCGCGTGCACGCGTGTTACTTGTTAACATTGTTGTATCATTGTTCGATCCTGTCCATGGTGATTATGATGTACCACATATTACAAACGCGAGCATATCAAATATCGAAAATAACATATAATTCAACACTCAAAAAGATTTCATTTCGTATATAAATATGTGTGCATGCATTGTGCATCTAGACAAATAGATTTATTTTTAGAAGGGTTAAGCATGGATTTGTTGCTCATGATTCTAAATTTGAACTAAATATTGCTTATACATTTGTTATGAAAATGATAATATGAATGCTTATACATTTGTTATGAAAATGATAATATGAATATACTTACTGGTCCTGAGTATTGTGCGCTAGCAATAGATACTTCTGGTGCCGCGAAGGCCGGTGTACCAGCTTTCCCTGATAATAATTCTCCAGGTTCTCTTAATTCCGTGCTAACTCCTAAATCAGCAATTTTAATTTTGTCGTCTCTGTCCACTAGTAAATTGCTTGGCTTTATGTCACGGTGCACTATCTTCTGGTAATGTACTGCGCATATAACAATAAATATTATATAGTACCATTTTTTAATTGTTATGTTATAATTTTTATTGGGATTTAATTATAAAAAATGCAAATTTTTTGTAGAAAATATTCACAATTATTTGTATATTTCGATATTGCGTGTTGAAATTAAAAAATCCTTATTTAATTGCTTAATATTTTAATATATTTTAATTATTCATTTTTCGGCACGTAAGATTATAAGTAAAAGTATTTGATTTGAATTATATTATTTTAATGTATCTAAAGTTAATATTGCATTTTCAAAATTTCAATATAATTTCTCAAGTTCTTGATGTATTATAATTTCAATTTTATAAATTAATTGTGTCCTAAATATTAGCGTAAGATACAAGATAATACATATAGATAATACACATAGATAATACACATAGATAATACACATCTGCTGCACATTTTAAAATATTTTGATACGTTTGTTAGGTAGGTTAAAAAATATTTTGTTACAAAATATTTTTTTATCACAAAAAGAAGAAAAAATATCAATTATAAAGAAATATATAAAAATATAAAATATAAAAAGAAGAAAAAATGGAAGTTGTCAATTTTACATTCCACTGTATAATTGAATAATATGATACAAATAAACTACAATATCGTGTAAAATATATACTGACATAGATATTGAGTAGTTTACGTAATGTATGATACCTCTTCCGTCATTGATCGGCGATAAGCGCCGTAACAGGCGCGACATATATATCACATAAAACAAATCTATCTATTGAAAGAGTTTGGATACTATCATTAAATGAATAAATAATAAATATGTCACATGTGATTATATTTTATGACACCTGATTAAAAAGATAAAAAAATTTGAATCTTAATTTTAGGAATATATTTAGAAATAAACAGTGAATTATATAAATCTTAAACCTTGATTATTTAATTTCTTATAACGCAATAACTAAAAAAATATGTAGTAGATATAATGTGTATATTACGCTTAATATTTAAAATACAATTTTGATGATTAATAATTTAATAAATAATTTAAGAGATTTTCTTTGAATAATAATATTCTAAAAAAATTGATCTGTCAGAAACCTAATTGAGAAATATAAAATTTATTGACATAAATAATATAATAACTCACAATATTCGACACCCATGACGACGTCACGAAAATAACGCCTGGCTGTATCTTCTGTCAAAGGATTTTCCGTGGGTATAACGAGAATTTCGCCCCTATGAACCAATTCGAAAACTAAGTAGAGATTATCCTTATCAGGATGGTCGAGTACTTCGACCAGTTTCACGACATTAGGATGGTCGAGTTTTTTTAGGATGGCGATCTCCTTATAAACTTTCGCCAAAGGGTCGGCGCCCGCCCTGCGCGGTGGTATTTTACCAAATATCCCTGTTTTCTTCATCAATTTCCTCTTGCTAACTATTTTCATGGCGTAATGCACTCCGTCTTCCTCATTATAAACCTTTTTCACGACACCGAAAGAGCCCTGAAATATAAAAAGTGCGAAATAATGCATTAATAAATGCGATAGAGCACATAACATATTTTTTTCAAACAATGCCTCGAATTCTCGATTATTATTAATTCCAATTGAATTTTTAATTTTTTGAGATTCTTGCTGAATAAATGTATTATTATATATTTCTTGAGAAAGTTGTCATTAACATACAGGATAATTTTCACATATACTATGAAAATATATTTGCATACATATCAATTATCTCGATATTTAACTTTAATTAATAAAATAAAAATTGTACAAACGTTTCGATGGAATAATATTTTTAATCTTTTTTGCATTTACCAAAAATATTATCATATTAGATTTATTCTTACATTAGGATAACATTAAGAAAATTTAATTTAAAATTTTAACTTTAAATATTTAAATTAAAATTATTAAATAGTTATATTATTAATTATTTATATAATTTATATAATTTATATAATTTAATCATTATTACATAATTTTATTGCATCATTATTACATTATTTAATTTGTTAAAAACTAATCAATTATTGTTAGAAAGAAGTAATTTCAATTATGATAACTAGATATAATATCGAGATTAATTGAAAAAACTATCTGAATCATTGTTCTTTTTCTCATTCTCATTCTCTCTCTTCTTCCACTTTTGTTTTTACTTTCAATACCGCGAGTTTTAAGAGAGTTAAACAGTTAAATACTGATGTAATATATAAAAATCTTTCTCGGGAATATTTTATAATCCTTTTGGTATTTTTATTTTATTTTCTTTTTTTTTGTTGACATCAACAAAATGCATACGAAACAATCGTGACATTGCTACGAAAGACATTGTTATGTAGTCTTTTAAAATAAGCGCGACATATATCATGTGAAAAATCGTGCTCTTTATCAATAATCTGACTTTTTCCACATCCTTTTACCTTAACCTTGCAACCCTTTCTACGGTTCAACTACGCTGCTATCATGATCCGTATCATTTGTAGTAAGATGAAGGTCACTGATGATGCTCTCAAGAATGGCATAATTTTATAGTTCACAGTATAATCATTCACTGTATAATCATCTTTGAACACATTCGGCTGGCAGACATTTATTTTGATAAACATAAAAAACGAGCAAGATTTAATGAAATATCTCTAGCATGTATATCTTAATCTCGTATACTAAATATAGCTTTTCTTTTTTATTTTTTATGCGATCTGAAAATACTATATATATTTATCATAGATAACTTAGAAGAATGACTATTTATAATTTTTGACTATTTAGAAATGATTATTTAGAATGTTTCGCGGCATTTTATTATTAATTATTAATACAGATTAGTTATTACTAGTTATTACATTTATATGTATCTTTTATATAAATATATAAACACAAATAAATAAATAAATATATATATATATATATATATATATATATATAAATATTGTAAATATATATATATATATATATATATTTATATATATATTTTACATAACTACATTATTAACTGTGCCGCATTATTTATCATTAATTAAAGTGTTGAAGTCGTCTCATCAATGTTACTCAATTTATCTGTGAGATGAATTTCATCGCGTAGAAATAACGCTTGATGTAAATAATATGGTAATCCATAGTACGGTTTTTTACTTACTCTCGTTGAGAACATTGCCATATAATTATGCAGAAGAGATCGATGTAAAAACGTGCCGGGAAAAGAGACGAATTAACTTTAATACGTCGTTTATAAATACACGACGATAGTGATTTCGTGATATCAAGCATATCAACGTTGCAGAATCGAATTGATCAAACGTTAAATTGGCATTACATTTCATTTCAACTGACCAATTCTTACTTTATATTTCGTTTCGCTGAGGAATTTAATTTTGAATTTGCGAATGTATCTTTAAATGAATGCGATAGGAAAGAGAGATTGAATCACTGAAATTAATAAAATTCAGTCATTCTCTATACGTGCGGTGTTTGAAAATATTCTCATGAATAGAATGACGTTTAATTTTATTTATAAAAAAAAAGAGTATATTTTGCTTTTTTCTTTTTTTTTCTCTGAGGAAACGATTTCTGAAATTCTCGAACCTCAAGATCGCGCGCTAAAACTTCTCGCAACTAAAAGCTTTGCGCTTTTCATTCAGTTATGGCAAAGTGCAAAGTTATTGCGGTCGTTATCTCGTTCTCTTTCTTGCATCTGTTTTGATTCCAATCACGCTACGTTGAATACGTAAGCATTGAAGCGAGCCCGCATTTTCTACCGCGTTTCTGTGTGCGCTTTTATTCGAGAGAAATGTTTGAGCACCATTTCCGGAGGAATGAAGCTCATTCTTTTGAAACGTGCGAGCGACTTTTAACCTTTCTATTGTTATACGTGAAGATTATTCAGAATTTTTTTTTCAGTATATTTTAATTTTTACACGGAGACGATTGAGCGTTTTTATTTAAGTCATCGTTTGAATTTTTATTTAATCAAAAAATTAAAAGATTAAGAAACAGGTGTAAAAAAGTAAGTTGAGAACCAGAGATAGAAAATATATATAAAGATTCCGAAGAAAAAAACTGAACTCATTAAACAAGACCTGTACAGAAATAATTCTAAACAAATGCAGCAGCAAATTAACGTGTTAAATGACGAGAAAAAATTTCCAATCTGTTTATTCTATAAATAGGTCGGCAATTATAATAAATAAGCAAATAAGTGCAAAAACAACAATTATCTTAACAATTTTTATTCAAATTTTCGTTTCTACGGCCAATATTGCTTTATCATGCAATGTATAACATAATTGATCAATAATCTATAATTACGTTATTATTAATTATTTCACAAGAACGAATGATAGAGTGATTAAAATTAAAAATGATGACTCGCGGCGCCAGTTACTGATTATTAAGAAAGTGTTCGTATTCAATATTGATAATTATATTATAGAACTTAGCCTTTTCAATTACATCTGTTTCAATTACATCGGTTTTTAACAAGCTATATTAACCGATAAGGGGATCGACATGTCACTTCTCTCTCTTTGAAGGGCGAAACTATTTCGCAGCGCTTACATATATAATCAGAGAATGATAATATCACAATATACGCAAAATATCGCTGTTGCTAAATTTACTCAGTGCGAGATATCTACAATTTTTTTCCTCTCAAAACAGATTAAAAAGATTCTCTTTATATATAGAAGCTAATTGCTATTTGTGAAGCAGTGGGATTTGCACACTCGTAACTTTGATAATTGAAAAATCATTCCGTTCATTAGTAAACAGTAAAATAGATACTTTATGAATTATTGAATAAATATATAAAATGCAATCTTTTTTCAATAAAAGAAAATTTATACGTGTTAATGATTTTTAAATTAAATAAGTGAGATTAAGAATATTTAATAATTCCGCGAAATAAATAGATAATAGAATTAACTTATCTTGATTTTATTTTAATCTTATTTTAATTAAGCCGATTTTAGCGAAATTTTAATCTTACCTTTCCAATTTCATTTAACACTTTATATTGATTCAATTGTTGGCTGTCCTGCTGGTTATCGATGAAGCACGTATTGGCTCCAACGGAGTGCTCTCTGTTGAGTACTCTGTTGCGAATCCTGGGAGATCCTTGAGGACTGCTGTAAGGGAAGCGAGGGAGAATGGCTTTGTCGGTGACATTGACAGTTTCCCCGCGCAATCGTTGGCTCGATCGTGCCTCACCGGGCAAAGACAATTTTCTTGTATCTACTATTCGACTACTATCCGCGGCAATAGCAGTTGCCACATTTGTATTCGGAGCATTCTTTGAGTCACTCAATCCAATAGTTGTGTCGATCACTTGTTGGACTCTGGTTGTCTCATCCATCTCTCGCATACTTCCGTCGCTTTCATGCGAAAGATCCTTGTGCGACGTCAATTGTAATTTAACTAAACAGATATTAACGATGAAAATATATTTTGGTTTTTATTTAGTTTCGCGACACAAAATTTCTCTTTTAAAAAAAGTAGATTTCTCATCCTTATTTTTTATATCGAATTAAATGAGAAAATTTACAAATAAAAAAATAAATTTTAAGAAAATAAATATATTAAATATATGTTAAATATATTTAATATATTAAATAAATAGCATAAATGAGTTTTTTTGCTATAATATATTTTTGTAAAATATAAAAAACTCACATTCATGATTTTCCGCGTTAGAACGGTCATATTTTTTTATTGTTATATTCTCATTTTTACGGAGTAATTGTTCTTAAATTGTAAATTGTTTGTCAGTTTTAAGAGCATTCTATCCAACTTGAAAGAATCCGTGCTCTCTATATTTTATAACAATATCAAATATCTGCTTTCTAAGTCATATTGACAATGAGAGTAGTTTACTTACCGATATCCTCTGCCAACTCGTTGCTGTCGGGACTATCCTGCCGGGGCGAAGTCTTTTCCTTGAGGACCTCCTTCACCTCCTCGATGCTAGGCATATCGAGGCCGGAGCTCGACACCTGTCTGTGTATCTCTGTTGTCGGCATTCTCCTTTCCGATGTATCTGCGGCCAGCTCTTGCTCTTCAATACTTTCTTCTACCCTATAAGCAAGGTTCTTAGTCAAGGCTTTCGTTCTCGATACACGTCTCTCCTTTAGAAATAGATCCTGCGGCTGCGTGTCGCCGCTCGTTGTCGAGCTTCTTCTATTATCGTCGAAACTACCTCGAGGGCTCACGTAGCCGCTGCTCTGTCTTCGGACATCCGTGCAAGTCGGTTTCAAAGTTGATTTCAAATCGGTCTCTTCCACTTCCTCAAGGTACAATGCGCTGTCTTTGCGTACTTCCTGGATATATTCCGGGCTTGATGGCACTTTTGATGAACTGGGTACATCCGTCGATAATTCGGAGTCAGCAGGCAAAATCTTTGTCTGCCTCGAGATGTAAGGGAGCGAATCTGAGGGAGAAGGGCGATCAATCGCACTGCGCCTGAAAAAAACGAAAAGGTTTATTAATTGTAATTTGTACTGTTTCAAACAATGCAATTAAGCGACATTTAACATTTCATTTGAGCACTCATATTTTGAAAAATTTAAAAAAAATACACTGTATTTTTATAAAAAAAGCTAAGTACGCGAGGTCCGTTTATGATATTTTTTTAATGATGTGATATCTTTTTATGATATTTTTAGGTTTTATTTAATTTTTTTTAAAATAAAATTATGTGTGTGGGTATTTAAAATATTTTTACGTATTTATGTATTTAAAATATTTTTAGTTATATTGTACATCATACATCGTATACAAAATACGCATAAGAGAATTTATCGAAGCATTATTACTGCGTCACATTACTGCGTCATCATGTAAAATTACAACTCGAAATGTCAGATAGTTACTGCGCATAGTTCGATAATCGGTACGATATCTGATACCATAAAATAATTATAGGAGAAGGTATCATCGACACGCATTTAAACCTCTTCAAACGGCCATATAAATAGAACTTTGATATGGATGAAGTCTTATATGACCTGATACGAGGTTTATCGGCTTGTATCGTGTTAATGACGAGGTACGTCGAAATGCCAATATGTCAAACCTCAGGGTCGAGAATAGATAGTGACTTCGATGCTTTTTAAACAACCTTGTCTGCTAGAAAATTTGCAAAATATTTCTAAATTTCATGCATTTCGGAGCATATATATTGAAGTATATTATTATTCTTATTAACCATTATGAATGCACTGGAAAATTTTAATTGTCAAATTTTGACTGTTGCATCAACTTTTAATGTAGATACTTTAAAGTAAAAATGTGAATATGATTGATTTTAATTGTAAAAGCAAAACAGTGAGAGCAAGTATAGATATCTGTAATAAAGAAGAAGATTGCAGGTATTTTATAAGATTTGCATAGAATATAGTTATATATATGTTTTATATATATATATATATATATATATATATATATATAAAACATACACACACACACACACACACACACATACGATTTTAAATATAATTAGTGTAATAATTTTATATGTGTTTTATATATATATATATATATATATATATATATATATATATATGATTTTAAATAATTTTTTTAAAGAAATATGTAAACACTTGCGTAAAACGATTGCTTTGGTTCAATAGCTCTATGCAAACGTGCTAAGATAATCACTTCAAATCAAATCAACCTTGAAATAACAACTTCATTAAATCTTGAGCTGTACAGAGTGTTAAATACGTACTTGTATATGGCAGGAACGAGTAATTTGCAATTGAGATTTGAGATAAAGGTAGATAAAGAAGTAAAAAGAAAGAGAAAGAGAGAGAGAGAGAGGAAGAAAGAAGATCATTGAGAATGTACATAATATATAAGAAGATAACTCGTGTTTCTTTCGAACAGCGAACTTTTTCCTCGTGTACAAATTTTTGCATTACAGATAGTCGCAAAATTGAAACGTGAAATATTAAATATAAAACATTTTGATTGAGTTTAAAAGATTTTGCATTGGATCATTAATTTCGTCATTATTATGTTGAGATTAAGAAATTTTGACAGGCTAATTTGATAAAAAAAAAGATATTTTATTCTTATGTATCTCTTCGTGTCTCATGAAAAATGTCTAATCTACGAAAATTACATTTATAATTCTTAGAATTTTTACACGCGAATCATAATTAGTCTACACACAGAATACATATTTTTATTTATTGTTTTATTACTTACAAATATGTATGCAACATCTGATATGATATTTAACGTTACCCATTATTTCAACTAAAGTCGCGTGACTTTGTAAGAATTAAATCTTTTGTTTGCGTGACGATGCAACTTGTCAGAACTTTACTTCACTTTTAAGCGAAGCATGCACAGTAATTCAACGTCTACATCGTAAGCATTTTCGCGAGCGAAAAAGTCGATTGATCAAAATATCGATAATATGCGGCAGTCCATTTTTCATCCTTAGTAGACGATAGAATAATGGACGAGACGCAACATTATACTTCGTATCACGCGAGGCGCCGCTTGTAGTCGCCTAATATACGTAGAGAGTGAAGTGCACACATACACATATACATATTCATAATTCGACACGAAGCCGGTAGTCGGTATACGGATCAATTGTACAATTCGAACTAGGCCAATGAATGCGACAGCAAGATCTAGTAAGAGATCCGCATTTGCCGCAGCTCGGACAAAGTCCTATTGAAGTCGAAAGTCGAAATGCCTTCCTCGACAAGGAATTAATATATGTCACTTTTCAACATGAATAAATTGATAACTTTCTAATAAGAATCATAAAGTGCATTTCTAACTCAATTTTATAAATATATTAATAAAATTATATATTGATAATAATTAATAAAAAATAGATAAATGTATATTAAACATTATGTTTCTATGTATTGTGTAAAACATATATTATTATTTTTAAAAATTAAGAGAAATTTAAAAAAAAAATGAATAAAACATCAGAATGAATGTGTGTGTGTGTGTGTGTGTGTGTGTGTGTGTGTGTGTGTGTGTGTGTGTGTGTGTGTGTGTGTGTGTGTGTATACATATCAGATCTATTCAGATATATATTTTTTAATAATATAATAATAATATATGATTTGATTTTTCTTTGCTTCTTAAAAATATATAACATAGCATAAACGAATTTACAATCTAATTATTATTCGTGGTTGTATTTATATATTTTTTAAATTTAATATTATACATCTGAATGTTCCAAAATTAAAGACAATTTGTTAGAAAACTCAATTCAATTATTTTGAATTTATCTTAATTAGATGATTTTCTGCGAAATTGAATCTTATTACAATGTGTTGAAGTATTCTTCGACGGTTACAAACGCCTAGGGAATAGTTGTGCACATCATTGCTTACAAATGCGTCGAATAAGTCAAGGTAGTTTCACATATATCTATCGAATTGTTCCTGTATTATCTGCATGAATAGCGTACAGTTCAGAATTGTACACTAAATGTTGAGTACTTCATTATAACTTTGGTTTCAAGTAAGAGACTAATCTTATAATTAATTACAATACAAAAAATTTTTAAGATTTTACTTATAATATTTTTTAAATATTAGCGTAAAATATATTTTCGCACATGTATCGTATTTATATATCTTTACAAATTTAGTTTATTAATAAAAATGTTAGTTGATATAATGTTAGTTAATATTAAGTTCTCATAAATTTTGATTTTAAGTATTAGCTTTTCTTGCATATTGCAATATCCTACAATGTTCATGTGTATTTCTTTTAATAATAAAAATGCATACGCGCAGATTATTACGTAAAAAATGTTGAAACAAAAACTGGCCACAGTAGCGGATATTCCGTGTAAGGATATGCGTATTATCTAAAGAATGTGCATCGTCACTTATTGAGGAGATTGCTTTGCTATTTGTATTCGATAATAATATTATAATAAGGTATAATAAGATAAAACAGTATAAGGTAAAATAGAATAGATTTATCAGAAAACCTGCATCATTTATTGAATCAATTGTGAACTAAAATTAAATTGAATATGCATGTAATTTTCATCTTCTCTTCATAAATTTCTTTCTCTTTATAAATTTTTAAAATTTTATCTGCATCGTATATTTTCCAGGGAAGTATACAGCGCGGCTTAAAAAAACGACTTTCACACTTTTATATTGAGAAAAACTTCCATTTATAATTAAATACATACATCGAATATGGAATATTGTTTTTGCTCATGCTCAACGTTAACATGTCTCGGCTGTCGTTTGCCACCTGTTACGAAAAAAAATCGTTTAAATATCACTAGAGTGTATAGCGTTTCATAGAAAAACGTTTAACACTCAACGAGACTCGAGAACGATCTGTGAATGCCAACGAACGAATGCAATCGTCAGAAAAACTTGGCGATACGTGTCCGCCGTTCTTATATACGAAGCACGTAGTACCGCGGAATGCACATTTATATGCATTTTGTCTTACTATTATATCCGCATCCAACTGACAAATGAATGATAGACATATAAGTACTAATATATATATATATATATATATATATATATATATATATATATATATATATAAATCATAAAATACATACTATACAAGATACACACTTGCGTAGCATCGATGAGACTCGAGGAAAACTGAATGATTCGAATTTTCTTCATATTGATTTTTATCCCAAAAAAAAAAATTTCTAAATTTGTTGACAATTAAAATTTATTTTAATTTATTTTAATTATTAACAATTGTTTGAATAATTTGTAAGAAAATTATTTTCACTAATACTTAGTTTATTAATTTTTAGTTGTATTGTTTTTCTTGAAATGTATTTTCTTAAAATAATATATATGAATCAATAACAAACAACGAACATGAATTTTCAAACATTCGTGTTCGTCATTTGTTTGTTTCCTTTCGCTTTGTATTTGTTTTGGATTGTATTCTCATCCATACTACACAAGAATTTTCTTTAATGTTTCATAAGCGAATGAATCCGAAAGAAAAAGCTGGCGAAGATTCCGTAATCATCATAACGTACACAATTTTTCTAACATAAAAATATTATTTTTCCTTCACTTTTCAAGATTTATTAATTTTTTTCTTATTACAAATGATAAAAGCTCATTTATTGAAATTAAAAAGCGTATTACTGTGATGAAAATTAAACTCCTCTTTTAAATAAACAAGTTTAATAAAAAAGTAATATATTTTAATATATTTTCTACCTTTTTATATCATTAGAAATTACGTGAAAAGATGATGCAAGGAAAAAAAAGAAGCAAACTCGGATTAATAATGGATTAGTTTATGTGATTACGCGCGCAGAGAAAGCGTAAGAAAATGAGAATCTTGTGTACCTTCGATAAATTACGTAACGCACAGAAATGATAAAAGTGTGCCGCCACGTCGGAATTGCCTCGTTACTTGTGAGTTGTAGTTTACGATAGTATGTCAAATGCATTTCCATATATTGC